ATAAAACTAGTAAATCTAAAAAATAGCTTAAGAATAAAAAGTAGATATTTAATCTACTTTTATTCTCTTAGACTTAATATAAAATAAGATTATTTATATTATAAATAAAATATATTAAAGGCTAATTATAGTTTTTTTATTTATTAAAATATTAGAAATATTAAGTTCTATTATATTTTTATATCCTAGATTAGAATAAATTTAAGCTTTTAATCTTAAAAGATATAGAATATATTTTAATATTATAAATTTATATTAATATAAATAGTAAGATTATAAATTTAGATTAATAATTAATATATAAAAATAATATTAAGGAATTAATTTATTTTATCTTATTAAGGATATTTGTAATCTTATATTTTCTTTAATATATATATAGCACTCTTATATAATCATTAGACTAATTTAACTTAATAGTATTATTATTTAAAGATATTTTTATCTTTTTAAATAAATCTATAAGATTTATTTAGATAATATAAATAATATATGATATATAGATAATAATAAAATTAATATTTAATTAAATAGTCTTTACTAAGTTATTTATAGTCTAAACTAGTATTATATTATTTAAGATATTATTAATAGTAATTATAAATATTTAATTAAAAATATTATATTTTTATAATATTCAAGTAATAACTTTATCAAGATTTATATTAGAATAAGTATTAAAAAGTAACTTCAAGTTAAAGAGAACCTTTTAATACTTTCACTTTTTATTTAGAAAGTAGTCTATAATTATTATAAATATTTGCTAAAATAACGATATCTAATAATCTAATATAAAAAAAAGCTTTATCTTTAATAATAGACTTTAAAATAGTCTTTTTTAATATTTAATAATAAATCTTTTTAACTTTTTACAAATAATATGTTATAAAGGAATAGTAGATATAGTTAGAATAAGATATATATATTTAATTATATTAGTAAACTCTTAATATTTAAAGAATAAAAATAGAAGATATAATATAGTGATAAGATTTAATAACTTCTATTTTTAAATATCTTATAAGAATATAAGAGTTAATATATTTGATATCTATATATAGATTAATAAAGAAGATAATATTAGGAAAAATAATATATAGCTATTTTAAATAAAGTCTTGATATTTAGTCTTTTTAATATGAATTTTATATTATTAATTTCTTTCCAGTACTTATTTATAGATAAAATATTTATATAAATAGTTATAGGATAATTAAGAATCTTTTAATATTATTTATATATTATATCTAGCTTTCTATCTTTTATATTTATTACTTAATTAAAAGAGTTCTAGTATTTAGTTTAATAATATGTATTCTAGTTAATATATTTAGATTTCCTAAATTCTATTTAAAGCCACTATTTAATAAATTCCTTATTTATTATATTATTATATAAAATAAAAAAATTAATATAGTTAAGATTAAATATTATAATAAAAAGAGATAAAGATAGATATTATAAAAGACTTAGAAAAGTGAATTAAAAATTATTATATATTAATATCAAGGTTTATTAATTATCTAATATATAAAAGATTGTAAATAGAGTAGAATTGCGATTTGCTGGCCCGCCGCCTGTTTCGGCGCCCCCTCCTTCGAGTTTAGCGCCTGTGGGACCGACGCCCGATTGGGGATCGCGTCCGTCTACTTCGGGTTTAGCTCTTCCGCAACAGGTTTGGCGCCTTACGCTAGCCCCGATCTGGATCTGCCGTCTCGCACCGCCCGTCTCTTGACGTCCGCCATCTATATAACCCGCGGTGCGTCGCTCGACGGTTCTCTTCTTTCCCACACCCTTTCCCCTTCCCCCTTCCATTGTGTTCCGCTGTCGCCATTCCCTAGTCTGCTGACGTGGCCCCTGTCAGCTGAAAACCCTGGGTCCTGAACACAGCCTGCTTCTCCACTCACGGAAATTCGAACGGGTCGCTCTGGCCATGCGAGTCACCCGGAACGGCCTTGATTTCCCAGTTCTACATGGCTCAATTCAATCTTGGTTTCATAATGTACACTACACAGGGTCGTTGTTTCAACCCTTGTAGACATCACCCTCGTTCTGCTTGATAAATGGACATTTGAAGTCGAATGTAGGAGGACTACTGGCCGCTCTTTGTCCCAGGCTTTGGTTTGCGAATGCCACACAGCACTCCGCAGAACAGCCATCTCTGCTCTTTTAGCTGACCCTTGATTGAATAGCCGGTGAGTCGCTCGCTGGACCCGCACCCTCTCTCTATCCAACCGCAAAAATGCCTCAAGGAGCTCTGACGCTGAGCTGAGACATCGTGAACATCCGTAAAATTGATGGCTTGCATGATCGGCTTGCGTGATCAGCGAATTGTAAGCTGCCGCTCCGTTTGAGGGATTTTTTCTTGTCAATATCTTCCTAATCCATCAATTGTCAGCTGAGGTGTCCTGGAGGCTGCAACGTTACACGGTGGCTACTACGAATCCAAGGCGCCCTTTGACGAAGCCGGTTGGCTAAATTAGTCCGGAGTACTCTCAAGAGATCGCCCGACGCAAGCAGCAAATAGGATCAACCAGGCAGTGCTGTCGCTTGTTCGGTTGTGTGGGGTCCGCAAGGCGATATACTGCATTATTCCTCAGCTAGTAATGCCCTGGCGGCGCCTGGGTATTAAAAAGGATGACTGACCTCCTTTCCCCATTCTTTGGATATGATTCGAAACGGACGTAGACATACCGGCCCAGTGACCGCTGCACTCTTATTCAAGCTTGCTTCATTATCTGTTGATTTTTACCTCTGTTGTGTCTCCGTTGTGTCCTATCACTTTCTGCGAAATGAGGGTGGATCTTGATCAAATCGAGTTCTACCACGGCCCAAGTCGCCCGCCGCTTTCTACCAGTGCAAAAAGCGTGCCCCCCCATCCACGCCCCAGCTCATGTGCCACGATACCCCCAGCACTCTCTTCCCACTGGGTTCGGCTTCTGTTCAGGACCGTGTGAGGCACCTCTAAGACAGTCACCGCCACTGACCGGTACAAGCCATCAGTGGAACATATTTGACTTCGAGATCAATCATGTCCATGGACCCACTCAGACTGAGATAACGAAAGATGTCGGATCCTCAGTGACAACAGATATACCAGCTGCCTATGACATTCTGTTTGATCGTGGAAGTTCCGCGCTGGCTTTCTCACAGCAAGTGCCATCGACACACTCCGCGAGAACAACTCCGTGTCCTGCAGAGCCAAATCACCTAGACCCTTTTCCTCCTGATATGCGTGGAGATGATCTACCGGGTAAGCTGACACAACACTTTGAAATTCGGCCATCATCCTCGTATTGTCTGACTTTTTTTTATTGTAGATACTGTTCCTGATACCCAAAAAATGGAGACTTCTCAACTAGCCTGCACACCCTGTGTGATCGCACCTGTGTCTGCACCAGAACCTGCACCCGAACAAGCGAACTGTGTCTCTAGCAGCCTGTCTGTGGTGGGTGGTTTTCAGCAAGAACCAGCCAAGCGGAAGTTATCTACCACGGAACCCTCAGACAGTTCAGACAGTGGAGACTACGAAAGTGATTCGGAGCCGAGTCAGACATCTAACCTAGGTGAAAATCCGTGCTCGAGGGCAAACAAGGCTTCTGAGCGGGCTGAAGATCCCAGCACCATTGAAGACACGCCAGCCACATCTACGCCGTCCTCTCCTCCGACGGCTCGCTCTACATTGAAATGTCGTCGAGCTCGAACGACACTAGGCTCCAACCCCCCGGTGCGCTACCCATCGATAGCTGTGGTTATACCGTCAATATCCTGGAAACAAGGAGCCGCCAGGACAAGCACAAGGGCCGCTGCGGTAATATGCAAGAAGCGACTCCGCTCAGATCGAGACACCAGCGACGACCAAGGCGAGAACACCCCCTATGACACAGCACAGCCGTGTCCAAAGAGGAAGAAAAGGAGACCTTCAATCAGGCCACTTTCCGACCCTTCGAAAATTTCCATTCCTATTTCATCTCATCACTCTGGTGCTATCCAGAGTTTACATGGGAGTGCTATCCTCACGGTGGAGTCTAATACTGGTCTGAAACCGGCATATTTCTTCACTTTCGTACCCGACCCTAGCCCGATGCTGCCTCCAGCCCACACGGCGGTTATCCCCCCATTGAAACACACGTACACGTCGGACGAGAATGCGCTGCTCGTGCGGTTGAAGGAAAAAGAGGCAATGTCATGGTCTGAGATTACGACTCAATTCCCAGGTCGAAACATGTCATCCCTTCAAGTTCATTATTCAACCAAATTACGCCATAAGGCCAGCTCTCGATCTGGAAAACCGAAGAAACGCCAATGAGAGAGGCTATGCTATCGGGATATTTCTTGGTTCACTCCTATCGACCTTGCGCTGTATATAACATCCTCCGTAGCCAACTGTTTCAAGACAAGCATTGAGGGCGGCTTTGTTTACTCTGGAAACGGCGGACCTGTGAATTACTATAACCGGTTAGGTTTGCTAACGTGGGTTTAGCGCCCCAGTAACGCCGTCATGTAACCTCCCTTCAATGCTCCCGACATAAAAGACCTGTCTTTGCTGCTCCTCCTCCCTTTCTCTCACTTTTCCATTCCTACTTCTCTATTTTGCACTTATTGCCGCACCTTTCTTTTACTCTGGCCCCCACCGACTACTGCACATTTGCTTTCAGCCCGACGTACTGCTTTTTCATTTTGGCGGAGATGGGGTCAAGGATGTAATGTAGCCAAAAAGAGCCGATACTTCCGTTTGGGTGATCTGCCAATCGGATGACGAAGTGTTCCATGAAGGTGGGTCTCTTGGTTGGGTTTTTTGTTTGCTATGTATGCATGATGTTTTGTCTAGCAAACAAAGAGAACTGCGAGCAAGGATGTGAAAGGAGAACAAAAAGAACCCGTTGCGTCCCCTGAACCCCTGGATCTCACTGATTCTCCCAACCTTCTCATTCTCCAAGCCCACTCTCCGATCTAAACCTCTCAGTCCGCCAAGGGCCTGGCACTCATCTAATCCTTCAATGTCGAAGATTAATCATCTGCGCAAGCTCCTGCCAAGGGAGAAGGGACTGAGCATGCCGTATCTGGAAACGGACTCGTCGACAAAACGGCGGCGAGTTTCTTTGGCCTGTACCGAGTGTCAGAAAAAGAAGTCCAAGGTTAGAATGTTATTCCTTTATTCGACAAGGGAGCTAACGCAATGTAGTGCTCTGGTGCGACCCCATGCACGACATGTGTGAACGAGAGTCGCCAGTGCTTGTATGATGCAGCCCGTGATCGGAGACGCAAGGCCCATACCACCGAGCTGTTAAACATCCGTGGCGCCCTTTGGCGAATTGCTGCCAAGCTGCGCTGTGGAACGCCGGAAGAGATATCATGGTTGATCTGTGAGATCCAAGACCTGCCAACAGATCAAGATGCAATCAATCATCTTGTTTACGGATACTTATTGCATAAAAAGCTGGAAACTCTTTGAAATACCCACTGGTTGCAGATCAAGTCACGTCCAACATCGAGGAAGAGGACGTGTTGCAGTTCAAAATTTGGTCAATGTTATCAATGTATAAGACATCATTGTCAATCACTCATAGATATTCCGCGCAATTTGCCACCTGGTTGACCTTCATAAATCATTGCAGGATATCTATCACCCTAAGTACCTTCAATGAAACTTGAGAAGAAAATGCAGAGTTACAGCAGCGTCCAATCGTGAGCCCCTCACTTTGCGCGACGTTGAATCCCTAAGTTCAATGCAGTTCACCTTTCGAGTCCCCAGACGAAGAGCTAGGACGATAGTCGCTACTTTGACGCCCACGTTTACTTTCTCTTTTCCTCTCGATAGATCCTTCGTCTTCGGAGCTTAGTTGCTCAGGGGAGTTTGAGGTCGACGACGCTTTAAAGCGCCCGGTCGTATTCGATTGATTGAGCCTTGCTGTTGCGTCTGTACCTGCTGTCTTGCTTCGGCGCTTGAAAGAAAATCGCAAAGCTGCTTCGATGTAATGAGAATCTCGCGGTCGAGACCCACGTGCCCTTGTGAGAGCTCCTCCGTCGCGAAGTCCCTGAGCGAGAGTCGTAGCTCTGTTCCTTCGGATGGAAGCCCAGAGTCTGTCCGAAAGGGCTGTCGAATAGTCAGCACCCAGTCATCCGATATCTTGCCCCGGAACGGGCCGTACCTGTCCTTCTATCACTGCGGTTGCCCGAAATTCCACCACGTTATCTACCGTTTTATATTCCGGTCGCCATACGGTAATTGTCGCTCTGTTGGAGCCTTTGTAATCGATATCCAAGGCAACTACCGCATTTACACTCCCATCAGTGTTTAAGATATACTCATCTGCCAGGTGGGAAATCCGCTTGCTCTTTTGTGAATAGCATACCTCCACAATCACACCGGGGTAAAGCGCCTGACGATGCCCAAATGATGCATCCGGTTCCCGTCTAGAAAATTTATGCTTACTATCGTGGGTGTCTTCAGGTATGAAAATTCGGGATGTGGCAAAATGCTCGACCTGCTTTGCGAAATCGGCGAGAGGTCCGTCAGTCTCCTGGAATTGCCTCAATTGTTTGGATACTTCATCCACTATTCTTGCGCAAAACGTATCATGGACAGGGCTTGGCATTCGGATGGTCAGACAGTAGCGACAGGGATCGTAATCGTATCTGTAATAATTAGACACATCTGCTCTTCAAAAATGTCGCAGTACCTACCGTATTTTGTCTTCCACGTAGTTGCGAAGGTCTTCATCAGCACCAAGCACACGCAAGACCTCAGTAAAGTCGTCTGGTCTGAGTCGACCCTCCCACCAAGAGCTTGGCCGGTGATTTGCGCGATGGAGCCGCAAACAAGTGACCACGCTTCGTGCACTTCTCGATAGAGGTTTTTGTTCCGTAGGCGGTGGTGTCGGAGGGGGCTCGAAGACACTCCCTGGGGGGTGATGCCAGATGCCATGGACGTGCACCAAAATGTTTGTATTGGGATTATAGGAGTGGTTTGTTTTTGTCGCAACGAGGGGATGATAGCCAAGGGTCACGTGGTAGGAACAAGCTGATCGTCTTTTCACATGTGACAGTCACGTGACGAGAAGCGGACACGCATCGAGGCTCTGCGAGCTATCTACATTTCGCCAGAGCAGACAAGCTTTTCATAATGCCAAATACCATCGTTAGAGTTGGAAGCATTTCTGTAAAAGTTCTATCTTCCATCTTCCAGAGTAAGTGAGCCAATTCCGCTAGGTTTAGACAAAGACTATTGGATCGAATTTTGTTTCTAATTACCTGCTCTGGATAGCCTTCTGTTCTACAACCAGTAAGTAACATAATACAAGTAACATGTGGAGTGATTATAGTAATTACTTAGCTTAATTGCATACATCTAATGTCAAAAAGGAAAGACTAATCAGCTATATGGTTATAACGCCTAAATTCAAACGAGGTATGAATATTATCTTCAAGTTCTTTGAATCTTTTGTAACGGAAGCTATCTCGTCTTACATCTTATCATCTCTGCAGACAAATACTACAACATTGCTGAAGGTGAGTTAAGCGAAGAATGAAAAACAATAGCCCAGATTAATTTCGTTTCCCTAGCTAACCAAGGCAGAAAGGATGCCCCTTGCAAGTAGTAGCACTGCCACTCCGCGTCGAAAGTCGCGACCAGTGTTCATGAGTGACGCTGCTGGTAGTTGGTAATGAACTTCTCCTTTGTCATATTCCCACTTTCCATGAGCGCTTTGCTCTTTTCTATCTCCCCCAAGGCTTCTTCATACATATCCATTTCTCTCACCTTCCGCGCCGCGAATTCCTCAAGCTCTTTTGGGTTGTCGAATTCCATCCCACGCTTTGCCCACTCAGTAGCCCCAATATGTGCACGCAGCTGCGTAAAAGGAAAGCTATATTCGTCGTTAAAGCCAGACGAGAGAAGCATGTGTAACCACATAGCCCCGGAGGCTTGTGACCACTTAACGAGACTAGAGAGTTCTCTCTCTTCGTGCCCTTGCATCTTTGACTCTTCCTCCTCCAATATGCGTATATAAATGTCCAAGTATCTGAAATACCGGGATCCAATCTTAGGCAGCTTCTCGCCGTCGCAATCCCACGTGCTGTTGACAGGTCTGTCTTGGAGAAGCCACCACGGTGCCGAGCCAAAAAGTTGGGCGGGTCCAATATATGACCACTCAAGGTCAACTAATCCAACGATAGTGAGATCTTCTGTTCCACGGACAATCACATTTGCCAAGCCGAGATCGTCGCAGATTAGTTTAAATTTACAGCGGTCATACTTTGCGTTGACGAATTCAGGTATCAGACTCTCCAGAACTTTGAACGCGACATATTTGTTTTGAGCATCATAAAACCCAACAGTCGAGTTTGGTTGATGAACGAGCTGCTTCCAATCCTGCCCAACGACGTATCGGAAATACTCGGTTGTTGTAGCAAACCCTTTAGCTCGGTCACCTAAATATTATTTGCTTAGTCAGAGCACTATACGAGAGCAATAGGGACAAGAAGGAAAAAGGAGGATAATAAGTTGTACCGAAAGTATTGACTCCTCCGTCTTGGAGGATAGTTTGTGCCTTGAATGTCAACGGCCGTGATGGTGTAGAGCTTGGAAATTCAGTCTGTGGCGTTGGCAGGCTGCCGATCTGGTCGAAATCCAGTTTGAAAAGTTGAAGCAGGAAATTTGCCAATTGCCTGTAGATAACCTCCATATCACTATCGCTGATATCTTCTCTTATAACTCTGCTGGGTTGCTCGGCGTTGGGGTCTTGGAGAAGGCTACTAAGGCTCACACCATTGATAAAGTCCATCATAATGAAAGGCCCTAGACCAAGTGTGTTGCTAGCAGCAGGTCCCCAAGCCCGGACTGTTGGGGCGGGAATGGTAGTCGTGCTGCGGATGAGATTGAGGGCTGACACCTCCATAGCAACCTTCTCGTCTGTGTAGTCTTCACAAACCATCCCAAAACGAGGGAAACGGACCATCCAGGCCGTGCTATCACTGAAGACCATCTTCATACCGGCGTTAAATGCGCCATGGTGAAAGGTACCGTCAAGTACACAGGGAAGGTTATTTGGATGAAAATTCGACACCCACTGGCAAAGACGGCCTGTTATGTGGGCTTCATTCACTTTGTCAACCCAAAGCTGGCCCTGCGCCACGTGGACGAGATTGAGAATCGCGTTGGTGTCCATAATGTTAAGGCAGACTTTGACCGTGGGGGATGAATGTTTGGTAGGTTGCGACTTTGGTGAGTGAGTTAATCGAGAGACGAGATGGAGACGGGGCTATGTCTGGCTTTTATGGTTGATCGCACATGAGCCTTGAGTGCCTTAGGCATCACCGCAGCACGCTCTTGGCACCCCATTTATCGGTGCTGGCTACGAAGACGGTTACTGGGCAATTATAAGATTGGATCAATCATATGAACAACTTTTTGCCAAAATGACTGAGGCCCCGCAGCCACTCACGGCATTTGAACCAGGCATTCAAAGCGGGTAGAGGAATTTATTGAATATCACAACTTAACTTCAAACTTCGTTTCAGGCGGTTACATTGGAAAATTATGCATAACACAATAGTGTCAGTGGTGAATATGATCAATTCTTTAGCTCTTCATCTTTGAAGTAACTCAAACAAGCTGTTTCTACCTACACCTATTTCTAAAGAGGTCTAGCCCATTCAATACGGAAAACATACGTAGTTATCACTAAGTGGTAAAATCGATAATAGTATTGTTGAAATACTAGCAAAGCTGAAATGGCAAGGCAAATGGACTAAAGAGTGTAGAGTCACCGTAGCAATACCGCCCGCACTAGTGGATCTGAATTCCCCAACCTGCCAGTGAAAAAGCCCCAAACGGCAAGGACAGTAATGGCTGATGGAAAGGATGGCATTGGATGCAACGATAGACAGCTGTCTAGCCTGAGGCGCCGCCCTTCTATTAATTGATAAACCTCAGCACCTGACAGGCTCGGGGACTTCAAGTTCTTAAGGATTTTAGAAAATAAAGACTTAGGACTAACAGCAGCATCTGCTTCCAGCTTAGCAGCTCTCGCAGCGGCCTCGCGTTTTTCTCTGTCCTCTTTGTTCTTTTGACGTTTCTGAACAGACGAGTTGGCGGTGTCAACCATCTGTCCGACGGCAGCGCTACCCGAGCTAGTGAGCGCGTTGTTGACTTCCTTTCGTGCGTTTGGACTGATTTGAGACATCTTGTTAAAACGTGGTGGTGTCAGAGGTAAGCTAACATTCAAGAAAAATAGCTAGGATTTGAAATTGATTACCGTGATGAATGTGCGTCCGTTTGGGGTCTCAAATAGAATGGAGATATGGAGCAATTCAGAGATACACATCAGATCTTATTCAAAACAGGCACTATGCCCCATTAGTTCTCGCTCTTCCATAGCTTCTCCTCTTCTTCTCTTCTCTCCTTACGCACAATACTATTTCCTGAATAGCCTTATCTTCTCGCTTTAGAAGACCTTCTTAGAAATCCTAATCTTGTAGAATGATAACAATGTTTAAATAGATATAAGAATCAAACATCTCGCTATTAAACCTCGCCTGGAGGTCCGGGGGGATGCTAGGCCCTTAGTACTAACATAGCCGCTACGTCTTGCTTGAAAGGACAAAATACCGAAGTCGCCATATTGCAACTACATTTCCATTATCATTCCACATTCCATTACCCTATACAATGGATCGTGAGGTTAAATTACTTAATATGATCCAAACGAAGTTTTTTAAAAAAGAAGTAGGTTATTACAACAATTCCAAGCTAGAGAGAAGCATTGACAATGAAAAAGACTTAGCTGTTCTACCTTCACTCCTGATTGAAAACACATAACACGGTCTTCAAACAGTCCGAAATGGGTCCAGGCTATTCTCGCGTGCTCTTTGAACAGTTTCATCCCACTGATCAAGAAGAATAGACCCATTTTCAGATTCATGAACAGTGTCGGTCGGTACCCAAAATACCTCTACTTCTGGTTCACTAAAACGAAGTGATCCAGTCAAAGTGAGCCATGTTTCCTTTTCAATCATGTAGCCAGATACACCATGTCGAGTCTCCTGGGAAGTGATCGAATAAATGTGGTTGAAACCCCCATTCCGAAGATCGAGCGGCCCTTCCCACTGACGAAGTAGCTCTAGTCCTCCCTTTGCCGAAAGAAGTTGAGATAATGTAACCTCGCGCGTGGACATCGACTGCGAGAAGTTCTGAGACATGTGACTTTGTTCAATGACGTATAGTAATCCTTTACTTAAGGAAAAACGTGTCTTGATTATTTTGTTGGTGTGCTGTGAAAGACGGTTGTGGTCGTGAGCGAATTGACTGGCTCTGAAGGCATCTTTAATATCTTTTAGGTTAATTTATCAATTAAGACTTGATCTGGGTATAATTACCGGAGGCTGAATGATTCATATTTAGAGATGGAGTGAATTCTCGAATTTTGGACAAAGAAGAGCTCAATATATTGTATTGATTGTTGTCAAGTTGCATGATTTTGAAAGTCTATCTCGGGGAATTGGATGTTGGCTTTTATATGTATGCTGAGTCTGATTATGAAAGAAACTAATCAAGGAAATAACAAAATATTACCTCAATCCTGAGTACAAAACTAAATCATTACATCATTCCTTTGGTCTGGAGTCATATAGTCATCTGATAGGCTATCTCATATAGTAATTATAGCAATTTGATTATAGAAGACTCTTTTCTAGCCTCGGAGGTAAGTATATCACTAGTTGTGTATTGATCGTGGATTGCAAAGATTGATATTAAAAGCGAAATCTCTATGATTTTGAATTACTACGTTAGATTTCAAAGCTCTGTTTACCCAAGTCATTTTTAGCTTTTTCCTTTATAAGGCTAATGATAGAGTTAAAGCTGCTTTATTAAGTGATATGACTAGAGGCCAACTGATAACAGCTGTGTCGTTTACGTCTTTTCAGCGGCTCCTTCTGGTTTGCTGAAGGCTGATTCTAAAATTTACAAGCATCAAAGAAGTCGGTAAGCATAAATTGCAAGCTAGTGGTTTCGAGCTGCCCTCAGACTTCATGAAAAGCAGCTTCAAGTACCTGATCCTCAATATTGCAAAGGATAGTGCCGAGAGTAGTGCATTTTTCTGTACCAACTTAATTTCATTAGAATAAAAAAACAATATATATATATATATATATATCTTCACTTTGGACTGACCGTTTGCGTTTATCTGAAGCCTGTAGGATATGTTGATGGGCCACTAGGGGGGCGTATCTCGAGTCCTCTCATAAACCTTTTAGAAAATATTTCAAAAATAATGTCAATATCACTTCGAATCGAGTTTTTCGACTGGTAGAATTCTTTGTGAAATTGCCACAAAGAGATAGGGAAGAGTTCTTCGAGAGGTTCATTGGGCTTGACTTCGAAAGTTACACTGTATTGAAAACATCCTGTGAGAAGGAAATCAGGCTTTTATATACTCCGTACATTAACTGAAGCTATGTACTGCATATATTATTTAGCTTTTGAGATTAGTAGTAAATTTTTCGTGGGTGCTCTATATCCTGTTTCTCCTGATTCTGTATCTGTCTAATTTTCAGAAATATAGTGGAGCTCATAGGGCCTAAACTCGCTACGCTCACATTGATATGAATTTTGGATCTTGCTGGTTGTATCTAGTAAAAGAAATTCAATCCTAAGATTTAGATATTAAAGATCTCATAGCAGTATAAAGATGAAAGATAAAGTAGGCAGCTCTTTGTCTCTTCTTTATTTCTCAATCTTATATTCACTCCAATCTATCATGTTGAATGATATCACCATCAGGTCAGATGACTTTCCCTCCTTTTGGAAGCGGTGGCTTGTCAACTACCACTATGCTATCAAGAAAAAATGTTTTCCCTCTGTTGCTGCTTCATCCAAAAATAACGTTGCTTTAGTATATCCTCTCTGCATGCAGGCCAATCAATAAGCTCTGTCTCTTTCACGCCTGCAGGGCCACCACAATGAATCGAATATAACCTAGAGCTCATTGTATTAGCAGCAGATATTATAAATGGACTGCAACTCACACGTAATCTTCCACCGAAGGAATAGCCACCAGCATTAGTTGCCCTATGACCGGGAATTGGGAGATAGATGACTGAATTGCAAGATGGAAACTTCCATGTAAGGTCCCTGACTCGCTGGCTTGTGGTTTTTCCAGATTTCCATCTCTCATTCGCATATAGATACACTCTCTCCTATTCCTAGAGACAGGTCAGAATTAAACCATAATTATGATCATTTCACCAGAAAAAACCTACACATCAACATCATTTTGTCTAAGTTTCAAGGATTGTATCCAAAATCCATCTTCTAAAACATCTTTGCTGACGGGAATATTTTGTTGACAGTTGTAGAAGCCACTCATATCAACTCGTGTGGCTAGTCCCCTATGGCGAAGTCCTTGGCCATATTGGACACTTGAGTCATAACTATGGAGCCTGAAGACGTTACCAGCAGAAAAGAAATATTGGACATAGTCCATCATCCGATATTTTCGTGATTTTGTTTGACATTCCCGACAATCGATAAATTCAGCGAACATCTTCGAACACTCTGTCGTTCTCAGAGTAAGTGAATTTTTCATGAGAGCTTCAAAGTAGTGGCCGAGGTCATCAATTGAAGAATAGCAAGTCATCACAGCAAGGATAATACATTTGTCTTCATAGTATATTAGTATGACCGATAGATATGAACTTCCTTTGAAAGCTTATCTGGGAATATTTACCGCCTATGCTTATTTCATGCTTGTATAAAATAGAGGATGACCACCACTGTGGTCTTTGGGTATTTCGTGCTTTCACAACTTCAAAGCATATCGAAAAGAGAGTATTGATATCTTCTTTGCCGAAGAATGTGCAGAAATGACAGAAGGCCTCATAGAAAAAGACGAGAAGATCATCTTGAGGTTTGAATTCTTTATCTTTGAGCATAGTGACGTTTCTTGGTGTTCTTTCGAGCAAATTGTGTTGGGAGATAATATAGGAGGAGTAGTAGGTTTTTATATTACCCTAGAAGTACCATATTGTCTGAAGACGTTTGCTGTAGAATATATCTACTATTCAATCAACTCTTGAATGGTTGAATTATCAGAGGGTAAATTCTCACACTGAGTCTGCTTTGTGATCATATAATTAGCTGATTTATCTGTCACACCTGGGCTTCTTCTCACCCTCTTTTTACTCTCTTCTCTTATTTCTCCATTTTCACCTTAACAGTTTGAATCTATATTTTAAAATATTTAATCTTGTTCTAATTTGTCATTTCTTAAAACAGTTCTTGTCTAAAACTATGGGATCTCGCTTTGTAAGGTTAAGGATTTGCTACACAAGGTACTGGGTATTCACAAGGTTGAATGGCATTAGCATGTAACACTTCTAGGTCACTATTTGAATTTTTTCACATAATCTGATCTTCGATTGAACAATTGTCACTATTCTAAGCCTTAAAACAGGATAGAAGCCAGGGTAGACATAAGTCAGATCGAGTGTCCCGCACAAGAATATTATCTTCATTAGTGTACTGCATAACACTCCCTGGGTGTCCGTAATATCCCAGCTGAGTAACAGAATCGCCAGACTTTGATGAAGACAGATATATGGCCTCAGGGGAGTATATCTCACGTGCTAGGTGTCCGGTAAGGTGAGTAGAAGCATCGAGGGGATTTGATGTAGCTAGATCAAGGACCCGCAAAGAGTATTGAGAAGATCCTTCGATTGTATATGCAGCACTGGCGGAGGCAATCTGGCGGGTAATTTCATCGGATTTTGTTCGACACACAAAGTGCAACGCTGGTGTTCCTTTCATTTTCATCATCAAATCGCGGTATGCCTTGTTGTTTTTGTCAGATGATACGATATGACAGTATTTTTCTACAACCTTTCTTGTAGGGTAGTTTGATTGAATCATTCCCTCGATGACAGCCGTCGCCGAGTAGAGGTTGCAAAGAACAATAAGTTCCTAAAAAATTCGAATCAAAATTAAAGCTTTGAGAACGGAATGACTATGTTACCTTGATAAGTTGGGCGAAATATGGGACGCTGTTTTCACTAATAATGCAATCGGTAACCGAATTGACAAGAGTGCCCCATCTCTTTTTCAAGCCGTGAGCATGTGGGTTTCCATCAATCAGTTCCTCTGGGCGGATATCATAGAAGGAAAAGCAATCTTCCTCCGATAGCTGTACCGCCAACTCACGAGGACTCAGTTGGCGGATGTCATCCAAGAACTCGGTTTTTACGTCAAAGGGATTCCATATTCCAACTTCTTTATGATATTGTCTCTGGAAACGAGCGTTGAGAACTTCCAGCTTCTGGTTGAGCTCCTCGGGCGATTTGGTTTGAGTCACGACATAATGTATATCGTCAATGATACGAAGACGAGGATTGAAAGCTTGGTACTTTCCGTTTGCCGCTGAATGGCAAGCATTTTTGATTGCCTCGTAAAGGAATGGGTCAGACTCAATCTGCCATAGTTCCTGCCATGTGTAAGATAGACATTTCCTAAAATTGTCAATATAGAAAGGGTATAGAAGCTATACCTCTGTCACTTTGTCCAGCGTCTCAATCAACGTCGGAGACGTTTTCAGCTGGCTAAATAGTCCCTCACTAAGTTTATCGTATATATCACAGAGAAGCTGTATTGTCGGGTTTCTTTGGTTGACAGCCTGAACCACAGACTCAAACGAAAAGAGTATCTTGAGTTTGCGTTCACTTTCATGGTGGAGCGAGGTGGCGATTTCACCTGGACTTGTGTTCTGCGTCGTCAATGGTCCCCAATCCTGTATTGCGCAATGTTGGGCACTCGTTTTCAGACAAAAAGAACGATGTAGACTGATATTCAAGAGGTATCCAATAGGTCGGCCATCTCCGTTCATTACCATTATATGATGAGATGAAATCGTCATAGCAAGATCGGTGGTCGGTTTGCTTGGGGGTGTATGATAGATGATATAGCGCCGTTGGGGTTGGAAACTGATTGGCCATGTTAAAGTCGGGAGGGTTTGTCGAGCTTATAATAATAATGATTGATGTATGGGACAGGGAACAAGATTACAAAATAAAGAGCCCACAAATCTCTTGACACATGTTCTCGAGAGATCCATTGCTGCTTATCAAATATCCGATCTTGAATGACGAGCTTAGCTTTGTAATAAATCCTTCACTTGATATATTAATCATCTTCTTACCCAGCAAAAAGCAAGATAGTTTCAGTGTTAACCCCGATTACTGAATCATAGTGAGGTAGAAAAATTGACCTCGTTGGTTAATATTGAATAGAAAAGTCCGAGTAGTAAAAATAGTCTTAGTAATCCAAACCAACGAATAGACAAGGTTCTATTAAATGAGCTTGAGAAAGATAAGCTAGTCTTGGAAAAAGGCAAGGCATCGCTGCAAGTACTAAATTCGGAGTGATCAAAGTAACAATGGACAGAGAGGTGAAAGAGATCAGCCGTGTCGTCCATATCTCGTTGTCACCAAACTAGAAAGTCTAATTCACCGAAAATAGTATGACTTAGTTTGTCCAAACGGTAGGTGCTCTACCGCGTCCCACCAGTGATAGACTTAATAAGTGGAATACACAGAGTACTCGGATGCCCCTTCCTCCGAAATTTCTTCCATCCTAGGCCACCAAAATCGTGCCATGATATCCTCGAGTTCTCCGCTAACATCTATCCCGCCAGAAAAGTCATTCCATGAAATATGAACAGTCCATTTCATCACCCCGTCGTGCTTCAGCTGTGTCACTGCCCCTGAGCGGAGTGTGAGGTGATACTTATCCCGCTCACTGATCATCTCTCCATCCCAGCGAACTGACACTTCCTCGTATAGACTAGCTGCGAGAAATGATATATAGCGGCCCCCAAAGCTGTTGGTGGTATCCTTGGCTTCAGAATATAGCAAGTTTCGAATAGTTGTTCCAGCATTACCGCGGAGAGCTGAGAATGGGTTTGTGTGAATCATGGCTGCATATATCTCGGGAAGGTAGAACACCATCTTATTGCTTTGGAACAAGTAGCGACAACAGTGGAAGAGAGTTATGTTGCATGGAGTGCCGCAATATCGGTTGTAATTTAGTTGAAGGAGAACAATTGTCTCTAAGTAGCAGTTAGATATATACCAATATACGAGGTGGTGCTGCAGACCTTCTTGTCCCAATTCGTCGAGCTGGCGCACACTCCAAGCTTGATAGAGTTGAGGAAGTAGTATTTCAGATCCCATGGGCTTGAAAAAATCCTCATCAGTGATTTCTGACTTCAAAGCACATGATTGCTCGCTGCCATCCGGGCTTCCCACCAAGTTGAGCTCATAGTTTTCCATTCTGAAGTCAAGTGCCCCTTCGACATAGATGAGGGTACCACTGGTAGTTTAAATACTATCAGATCACTTTTATCAAGATCGTAAATCATCCCCAAGGCTCTCTTACGAATAAGCCTATACTTCGTGTTAATGAGATATTGGACAAGATGAAGCAAGTAGTGAGTGAGAAAAAAATTCAAAGAGCCCAGAAAATCAAACTTAAAGATATTAAAAGTAGAACTAGGTGGATAAATCAACACAGCATCCGAGGTTTAGGCAGGAAGGTTTTAGAGAGGACGGTCAGTGGACTTGGAGTCTAAGTGACTTCATAGTAAACAAGATAAAGTGAATGAGTAGAAGATGAAAAAAAAAAATTTCAAAAAGTGTACTGATTAAGGATCTCACGATTTTGACTTGATATATTACGAGGACAAAAAGAAGTGTCAAATGGGCTTGTTGAGCAATATCTAAAATTTTCCTCCACACAACCCAGAATATAATCATTTCAAAGTCCGCATCTGGTAAGCTAGGAAAATAACGGAACCGAAACAAAACGTACAAAAAGCTGGCATCAGAAGACCACGACCCCAAAGACTAAATGTAGGAGCTTGACCGTTATCATGTTCGTAGTGATCAAAATCGACTTGAAGCATGCTCGCGGTTGTGTAAGTGGAATTCCAGCAGTTCTTAATAAGGCTGCGGTATCTGAGACCCTTTAAGCTGGGAAATCTTTTGATAGCATAAAGCTCAGTGACCTTTTCAGTATCAATACCATCGTACGGTGGGCTGCCACTAGAGATCTCATAGATCAGGCACCCCAAAGCAAACAAATCGGTTGTAAAGGATCGAGGTGATCCTGGTGCTAAGCGGTATCTATCCTCTTCCGCAACGCAGCTCTCCATATCATCCCCTACAATGACTGAGCCAGCAAAGTCGCATAGCTTTAGAGATAAGTCATCCGCAACAAGAAAGTTTCGTGGCGCAATATCAGCATGGACAACACCGTGGCTGTGGACAAATGCGATAGCGTCGATAGCATTTTTTATCCAACGGCCTCGTGTGCCTTGTGAGACTTGATGATCGGATAGATAGGTACGCAGGTCCCCGAGTTGGTGGTAGGGGAAATAGAGTCCGCAGTCTGAGATTTTGAGACAATCAAGGATATTTGAATTCTTGGGTAAAGTTTGGTAGATGAGCTTTTCGCGAGTGATACACACATCGGAGATGTATTCCAGATGACGATGGTGTACGATGGCTGCTTCGTCACATCCTGTGAAATCATGGACGATAGGGATCTTGTTGACGATTCCATTGTCATCATGGAATACAGCCCCTGCTTGACCTAGGGCAATGAAGTTTGCCCCAGTAGGTAGTACCAAGGTTGGATGAATCGCCATGTGAAGTGAGATGGGAATGATTAGGAAGTTCGAATGAATTGCCCAGAGTTCTGGGCAGATAAATACCTTTGTCTAACCCTGAAGTACTTTATGTAAGGGGTAGGTGGGCTAATTTCAAAAAGAAGGCTGCCAAGAAGCCTCACGTGACTACTGTATCCAGTTCACCAATTCAAGATATATTCTGAGGTACTTTACAAAGTCGGTGATTTCATAAAGGTCTAGAACAATCTCCAAATAATACGCTTGCTCTTACTAAGCACCTAGGTACTCAGTTCACAAATATGCAAGAATAGAAAGTTTTCAACCTAGAGATTGTTCTCCACGTTTTCAAATATAGCTTGACTGTAAAAGAAAGAATATAATTGGTAGCAGTCCTCACACAGACCCATTTCTCAATCCCCATGCCGAAGCACTCATGATCTGACTATTATTTTGGTCGCAATGTGCTCAGATAATCACAATACCAGTACATGTAAGCCTTGTATGTGCCAACAGTTAATATTTAAGTAGACTAAGCAAATTACCCCTGGTCTTTGGTCAAACGGAGAGGGTGGGTCACTACCTTGGCAACAGCACAAGCTGGGCAATCAAACATCCGGTTGGTGGTAGCACCTGCTGATTTGGTGCTCTTTACAACACCACACTTGTTGCAATCAGGATCGGGAACTTTTATACCGCTCGACACTATGTGTCCGCATTTGTATTTCACAGGACCTTGAAGCAAATGACACATTCTGTGTGATAAGATTCCAGATTAGTAATTTGTTTTCAAAGATAATATAATTTGATCTCACTTGATTCGGTTTGATATAAGATTTCAGACACAAAGTTGATGTAGGAGGAATATTTTGGTAGAATGAGCTTGTAAAACATAGAAGGAAGGGTCATAGAGTATTTAAGGAGCTGAGGTCAGTGAGGAAATCGAAGAGGATTGCTAGATGATAGTGATACTTCACTCGAGACCTATATTCCTGACATACAATCCGACCAAGGTGGACTAGCTCTACGCTCATCTTATTCCTGTATCAACATAATTCTCTTGGTGTTTAACTCCTAAAGACTATTGCCTTACGAATATGCTATAGGTATATACAAGATATATGATTGAAATATTCTTGATCATGTGACTAGTTCTCTGTACGTTGGCTCAATCTTTGTGAAAGACTTTAGGGATTAGGGATGCCAAGATTGGTCTAAGAGTTACAAGATCCAAACATTTGAAGCCAGTGCGGTTTAGGTCATTTTATTTTCACGCATGTGGCTGCAGGTGATGGTAGATGTTGATTTGGGTCATTGTACGGAGCACATCTCCTGTTCTACATCTCCTGGTAGATACTGTACATCTTGTTGTAGGGGAGGAAAATTGACAATTTGATATCAAAGTTATCTAAATCATAGTTAGTGACACATGAGATAGTGTTAGCAGTGAAGGTCTGTTTGGTCATATGTTATGATGAAAAGATGAGTCCTCAAAATACCTAGTGAAATGGGAAGAGCGTGCTGGCAGTCTGACATCGCAGACAAGACGGCGGGGGTGTTCAGTGCTCAATGGGGGAGCAAGGGAGCTAAGCAGGCCCCCTAGGCAATCAAAATAAAAAATAGATGGTGTTTTTCAGAGAGGTTTCGAATGCTTGAAAATCTAAACTATGAGATCGCGAGCAAAAACAGCAAAAAGTAGCCACAGTGCCGCACATGAGATGTGGCGCGGTTTCTCTATTACACTAGTTAGTTGGGGCTGACTAGACCTCGCCAAACGCGGGTTTGGGTTGGGTTTTCAATTTCCTTACCCGCCCATGGGCAACCCACCGCGGGTTTTGGCCTTGATGAACCCGCCCATGGGCTCTTGGCGGGTACCCGCGGGTTGCCCAAAATACCCAAAAACATGCATAAATCGTGGATAAACTTGATTAGTCATCTGGTGTAATTTTGGTCATTTATTTCTGTAACGCTTTTGAGTGGATATTACACTGAAACTATGAACGCCATCGACCTGGAAATATATATTCTCTAAATGTAGATCACTGCCCCCATCGCCCTGCTTTACACATCTGAAGGGATTACAGGCCACATTGATGATTTTATGTAAATTCATCAATTGAGAATCTTTCGAGTGAGCTCAAAAATATTATCCTTAGTTCGATCATTTAAAATCAGTGTTTTGGACCTTCTCAGTGTCCTCCCAAAGTCGTATTCATCTCCGGGCGGGTTGGGTTGGGTTGGGTTTTGGGTACCCGCGGGTTTTACGCGACTCAGGAATAGATAGATCCAAACGCACGACGCGACTGGAACAAAATCCACAATCAAGTACTCAAGATGAAAAAAATCCCCCCTTCTTCCAATACCAGTGGCCTTTTACTTCAGTATGGCGTCTTCTTCCTCATCATCGCGATCAATACATCGGCCTTTCAGTCCACTGCTCTCCATTGAGCCGTCATCTGACGGCTTCTTGGATTCTGACATTCAATCCCCCGTAAGAAAATGGTCCTTTCCACTAGCCTCTGAGTGTTGCGGCGCTACCTACTTGTATACTAAGATGGACCGCAGCCTTTGACAGGACCCCGCAAAACGTACGACATAACTACTCGAAGACCTCCAGCGACACTCCGACGTGTGGGACCTCAGCACAGAAAGAAATGGATTGCGTACGAGTCGCATCTAGAGACAGAGTTTCTTGAATGGTGGAAGGAAACAGAATACGGCCAAAAGCTGAACGGAGAAGGCCAATCCCAGATCAAATGGTCCACCGGATCGCGTCACGCTGATGTGTGGAAACACTTTGACCAGGTGGCTGATATTGATTCTGGGCGTCCTCGAGTCATCTGCCAGGCTTGTCTCACTGTGCTTGATCATCCACAGTATAAAGGGAATGGGACAAGCGCCATGAGTAGACACAAAAAGTCTAATACTTGTCGTAAAGGGAAGAAAAAGGGATTTAATCAGTCATTGATTTCGGATTCTTTGCAGAACCATTTCACGAGAGACTCACCCAGTGTCCACAGAGTGACAACATTTCAAATCGAGGAGCAGATATTGAAGACAATTACGTGTCTTCGTTTGCCTTTCCAGACGGTGGAGAACCCGGTGTTTCAGAGGCTACTCAGCCTTTTATATTCTGGTCCCGGAGAATTGGAACTTCCGTCAGCGAAGACCCTGCGGAGGCGGCTCCGGGATGCAGTCAATTGCCAGCAAGAGTTACAGTTACAAGATCTGCCTGAAGATGCCAAGGTTTCCCTCGCTTTAGATTGTTGGACCAGTCCATTTCAGCAGGCATTCATGGCAATCACGGTTTATTTCATCGACAAAGATTGGAACTATAGGGAAATGCTCCTCGGCTTTGAGCCGTTGCACGGTCCTCATACAGGCAACAACCTTAGTGATGTTTTGCACCGGTTACTGGAGGAACGAAAACTTCTCGATCGTATTTTTAGCGTTACTACAGACAACGCTACCAACAACGACACCATGATACGCGCCTTGCAAGAGAGACTGCTCTCTATCGGAGCTATTAGCTCCAGGGAATCAATAGTCCGGGTTCCCTGCATGGCTCATGTGATCCAGCTTTGCCTGAAACAGCTACTGGGACATATCAGGGCAGCACCTAAGAATAAAGAAGTCAGAGCCTTTTGGTCCGACACCCAAGCCCACGGGTTGAAGGATTCGATCAACTATGGAGACGTGGCTCATACACTGACAAAGGTGAGCCAAGATATTCACTTTTTCAATATACTCAGAGCACTGACAGCATTAGATTCGATCCTTTGCGATCTTTGTCAACGCAAGCCCACAACGGCGTGATGCTTTTTTATGCCTCCAATCAGGTGGTACTCGGCTTTTTCCGTTACATGACGTTCAGACACGCTGGAATTCAACTTTTTTGATGCTTCGCCGAGCACGCCGGCTGAGAAATGTAATCGACAAATACTGCTGCGATCATGAATACTCGCAGCTCAAGGTTACCGACGTTGAATGGAGGCAAATTGACTACCTCGTTCATTTGACCAAACCGTTTTTTCAGTTCACCATGGCTCTGATGAAGACCAGAGACGTCACAATCCATAGTGTGTTCCTTGTGTATAGGAAACTACTGGAGCATATCGAACGGTCGAATCGAAGATTGAAGAGAAAGACAACACCCTGGAAGAAAGACATGTATGGCGCGTTGCTTGTGGCGAGGCAGAAGCTGAAAGAGTACTACGAAAAAACCTACCGCGACCACGGTTTTCTCTATGGCACTGGAACATTACTTGCCCCTCAGTATAAACTGAGTGCTTTTGATGATCGAGAGTACTCAACTTGCCATGAAGATACGTCAAAAAGGTACTGTGAATATTTGAGAGCATCTTTCACACAGTATCAGCAGCAGAACCCCGAGTTGCTATTCCGTACGGTCCAGCGATCTTCCAATTCGCATAGCACAGAGCTTGATCGGCTACTCGAGCCACCTGGTGCAGCGATTTTCCATGAAGGAGTAGAGTATGACGAAGTGGACCAGTATCTTCGCGAAGGCACGAGCAATCAGTACAACACACTAGAACAACTGACTGACCTCGAATAGCCAATGTCCCTGTGTCGCCGCGACTTTATTGGAAAGAACACGAGCGCGAATTCCCAGTGCTGTCTCGGCTCGCACGAGACTTGCTTTCAGTCCCTGCCACCGGCGCGGGTGTAGAAAGGCTCTTCAATAGCGCACGAGACATTTGTCATTATCGCCGAGGGTCTCTTCACGAAGGGACTATTCAAGACTTGATGATGTACATGTGCTCAGAAAAGCTCACACTAGAGGGACAGCAATTGATTCGTCTGGAGAAACCGTTGGAGAGCGAGAGCCAAGAGGCACTTGAAGAGGATGAAGCGTTGAAGGCAATCGAAGAGGATGCAGAGCCGATCAGCGACAATGAGGAGATTGAAGAGAGCGAGAATCTCGAGGGTAACTCTGAGCCAGAGGGGACATACCAAGTGGAGTGTACGGTGGTAGAGACCGGCCGGAGCTCTATACACAGACATATTCACGAACCTGAACAAGAAGAAGAGAGTATGGAGGAAGACGTGGTTGATTACGACGAAGCAGATTTACTTCCGCCTCCAATCATGCAATTGAGTGATAGAAGCCAGAAGAGATCTTCTGGTCGGGTAACAATGCCCTCCAGCAGACTGCGAGGTTACGAGGTATACTAGTCTTTAATAATTAGCCAATTTGATTTTTACAAGCCCTTCATGTTCCTTTCCAAATATTCTCAGCTAGAAGCTAGTAGTTACGCCATCGAAACAATTAGATAATCGAAAATTACTGCATAACTTAGTGTAAAATGATCAGTCAGCTTTTTTTGCTTTTTTGGGTAATCGCGGGTACCCATTTGGGTCTTGGGTTGGGTTTCCCGGATGACAACCCGCCCCCGGGTTTGCTGACTAAGACCCAACCCGGCCCATGGGCTGGGTTTTCGCGGGCGGGTTTGGGCGGTGGGCGGGTTTTGGCGAGGCCTAGGGCTGACAGTCAGTGTATCACGTGATAAACCAGGTCACATGGACACAGTTTCATATGTCGGGCAGACCTGCAGATCGCGACCCCTCCTCCCCTCGCCCGCCCAATCCTGCATTATCATAAGAAGCACCATCAACACAGTCTCTCATCGGCAATCACTACACCGAAATGCGTCTCGAAGAAATCTCGGAAAATTCAAAGCGCCTAATTAGTGCCATGAGGAGCCTTATCGACAGAGGAGAGACGAAGCACCTAAAAGGAAATCTAAGCGGGTGGCAGTATGGTGGGGAAACATTCATAGAAACGGTCGCTTCGCTGGAAAAAGGCATAAAGCAAGAACTTGAGTCTCAAAACATTCATGTTAGTAACCGATGTACTTGTTTTGATTCCATAATTGCTAATTAACCATCTCGTAGGTCGTCGGCTGCTCGGTGCGACATTTTTCTAAGGGGGCCAATATCAAGCCATCCGATTCTACGAAACAGTTATTGATCATCCCAATCAACGGAATCTCGACCCTTACTTGCGGCGGCCAACTACCAACGGAACTACCAACGGATACCTTTTGCTATATTGATGACCGGCCGACGCTTTCTGGGGATAACATTGATGTTATTTTTGTTGCATTTGAAACAAATAAGGATTCATAGTATAGTGAAAATGGGGCCTATCGATTTTGTATACGAACATGTTGTCTAAAAATGGAGAAACAGCTCTAACGTTGCCTCCCTGTGGAGCAATGCATCGTCGATATCCATAATATCGTTGTGATCATGAGGATTTTCAACCTTTTTGCTACCAGGCCGAAGGTACAAACCCGCGGAGGGTCAGAATGTTAGAGAACATCAAAGCCTTGGGAAGTGTTGATTAAGTGGAAATCTTGGAAAGGATCGAAATCTGTAGTTAGGTTGAAATCTTGGAAAGGATCGAAATCTGGAGTCGAGTTAAGATCTTGGGAAGGGTCGTAGTCTCCGATAGGAGGGGTGACCGGTTCTTCGTCTAGGCTCCGGACTGGGTTGATATTCTCGTGTGCAGGTTGATTTATTGGAGCATTGTCAGGGCTCGCATTAGCAGTGGCATCTGCTGTAGCACTAGCCTCGGCGTTGACCGTGGATGAAGAAGCTCGTGTACGTTTGCGCTGGCCCTGCACAGGCAATTCCTCGGTCGGTAAAGAATGTTTTCGACCATTCTTTTGCTCATATTCCACTTATTATTGGTAAGCTTTAGGACTTTACGCACAAGTTGGTTGACTAACCACGTTGTTGGCTGTAAATTGACAGGCACGTGGATAACCAGTTGGCCTTTTCTCTAGCAAGACTCGACCATTTCGAAGATTTGCGAATTTCCTCTGCCAATGAATGAAAATGCCGGTAAGACAAGTTTCGAAACTTGGAGAATACTTGGCTGAGGATCGCGCAGACATCGTGGCTTCCGTAAATCTCCCCAAATGAGTGATACTTCACGCCATACTTTATCGCCCTATGATTTTTCTCGTCGTTCCGGTTGATTGTTGTCAAGTATTCTTTGATCCTTCCTTTCGTACGGTTTTCGAAATCTTTCTCATTCAATACCAAAAATTTTGTGCGGGGCTGAGAATATGTTGTCTCTGCCCAAATCAAGTATCTCTCGGCATATAGGTATCTGGCCAGCCATCCACGAAACTTTTGGTAAATGGTGACACGACTCTCTGACAGCTCGATGTCAATCATGAAAAAGTCGTCCCCGATCCAATTATTGTCCTTGGCAGTTGCCACATGTTCGGTTAGATTCAAAAAATGGTGAATCACTTGGGACTGGGATTCAAGCCCTGTCATGAACTCGGAGATCTTATCTGAAGACTGTTGTGGATGGTCAAGCTGGTTGATACTCTCAACACATCTATCTTGGGTCTGTACAAAGCTCGCCTCCACGCAGACTTCAGAACGTGCTGGTGAGCGTGGTTGTGGATGATGAAGTTGAGGAGGTACTGAGGACGGGACATCGCGCGTCCATGGTCCATGTTGTGCATTTGTTGTGGTGATTCGGTATGCATGAGTTTCACCGTGATTTGGAGAGGGAGACGGTTGTATTTGTTGCGAAACGGGTGATTCCAGAATTTTCTCCAAACTGTCAAACGCAAGCTGCAATACTTGTCGGTGGTAGTACAGCAATTCTTGCGTATTGGTGCCGTATAGATTTTCTGTTAAGAACGTAGCCGCATCGATTATCTTGTCCATCGTCCGCATGATGGGCGACTGTTATGGTACAAGAGTAATGGGGTAGGGTTAGTAGGCCTTGGGAATGGAATGCTTGCTGATGTATCCTGAGGGAACCCTGTTTCTTGGCTCTGGCACCGGTGCCAGAGCCAAGAAACAGGGTTCCCCTCAGTAATCTGCCGACCGAAAGTACTCTGGCCAATTATGATGGTCCGAGCTGCCAATCTACTCATTGGCGCAGCGCTAAAAATATGTGGGATCTAGTCTGAAAGGAGCTATGGAGTAACAAAGGGCCTAGCACGAAGCAACTCCAGGCAAAACCAACGTCATGACTGCCCCATTTAGTATACAAAGCGCATCGGCATATAGACACGACAGGTCGAGAAAAAATGGTAAGGAGGTCATGGTCACGTGACCCACCAACAACAGGAACTTACTTCCAATACTCATTCCTTAGGGTAGATGACTTTACTATTGCTTCCTCTGAAGCTTTAGAGGCCATAATAGTGTTGTTGTCTAGAGAACCCTGATATAGAAAAGCTCGGTCATAGTAACCGAAGCGTAGATTCCCTTGGCTCTAGAGTAATCAGTAATACGACTCAAATGCCCAGCGCAGACAATAATTTACCAGGTACACTTCCAACTCTCCCTCCAACTCTCCCTCCAACTCTCTGTGTAGCCCATCTCTTACCATTGCTGGACATATTTTTAGCTATGAAAAAAAAAAGGGAATTCTTGTTTAGTCCCTGATAAGCCGTATCTGACAGCTCGTCACCAATCCATAAATAACCTACTTTGCCCAGAGCAATGTTCATCATATCAGAATTTCTTTCAACGCTCTCCTAAAGACATTTCTCGACATGGCAGACTCCCTTCTTAGTTACCTGACGACACGTAACCCAAATGTCCTCGCGTTCGCAAGACCGGCACCGAGCTTCACCTTTAATTCCGATTGGGATCCAATTGAGAACATAAGAGAATGGTCTGATTTCAACTACAATAACCTCCAACTACTGTTCAGGGATGAGTTGAGCCGCTCTGTGCCTCCGTTCAATACTACCGTCAGCTGTGAAAAGGGGGGCTATAACAAAATATTTGATGAACGGGGCCTCTCTGATCTCATATGCATGTCCATTATGGGTCCCGTATCGGCAGTGCTTCCCGATTCATTTACCACGTCTGGCGGAAGAGTTACGCAGCACCCTGGATGCGTCCCTGACTGGTCTGCTGGGAAGGAGGGGTCAGGAAGGTCTAAAGCTATTGTTCTTGGTGACACAAAATTCAACTGGTCATCAACCAACGCCTTCAATGTTATCCAGGGCGCGAAAAACAAGCTCTATGAAGATTCACCATCAGTTGATCTGGTGAGACCTATTGAGCAAGTCCAATATTATGGTGCTGTTTACGGATGTCGGTATGTGTATCTTATCAGCGACCAGGAGCTCGTGGTTATGCGGCTCCACTTGGCCTCGACCCACATTCGAACATCACCCAGACCTCAACGCACTCGCCCACCACCCTCGCATCAACGGGTGACGTCTTCTTCGACGATCTCTAAGCAGTTGACGGACATGTCTATTGATGAGTCTTGTTTTAAGGCTAGTATTGGACTTGTGGAATACAAGGAAATCCCTTGGAACGCGACTAGCGGCCTCACGATCAAGATGGCGTTGTATTGCCTTGTTCGTTTAGCAGACAAGTATGGAAATGATCTCAAACACGACTACCCCTCTTTGGCATCTAAAGTGGAGCCATCCGTTCCACAAAGTCTTTCGTCAACTACTATACCGAGTTCACAGCCGCGAAACCCCATACCAACAGCGAGCACTGTTGGCAGCACACCACAAACGAGCAACAACCCAGCAAGCAAATACTACACAACCACTCTTATATGGAACAAGACTCGGACTGCTTACATCTACAAAGCGAACGATGGCAAGTATGTTACTGATGATTCACCATCAAAGTGGCAGGTAATTGGAGACAAAATCTACAAATTCGAAGGATTTCCGCCATATCCGTGCTCGGATATACCCCGCTGATTTTCTTGCAATGAGGTTAAACTACTATTCAACATAGGATGGTGTGGCGGACTCCAATCAGCATGATACCTCCGTTCAACACGGTCTGGAACTTGGTTATATATGCATGATATGAAGACTTTACGTCCAGGCTTGACGCAACTTCTATGACGTTTTTCATCCCAATTTTCTATTTTTTTTCACTTATATGTACGTCCCGAGTCTTCACCATGTTTTTCTTTACTTACAGTTATATTAGAAAACAAGGTTTATGAAATTTTCATAACGCAGATTCCGAGACACACATTGTACTCGTTTTGCTTAGTGTGCTCTCTGCACAGATTGATTATTACGGACCCATATTTTTTGTTCCTTAGCTAGAAAGCTTTATCACCTAGTTATATTCTATTTTATATATAAAGCTGCTTTTGCCTGTATGCACTATAGCCATCATTTTCGCTCGCTAGTCATGGTGTAATAGACTGTGCAAACCGTTGTAGAGGGACTAAAACTAACAGGGAAAGATTTCCTATCTATCTCCATGGCCTTTGCTACATTGAACACTTCTCCTTCGTCACCATCTTCAATCTTGTTCTGGTGTTCTCATTTAAAGTACTTTGCAATGATCGTATGTGTTGTGAGAGACAAGCCAGCTTCGCCTTCATAATATAACTCAGTTTACGAAGCAAGAATTATGATAAGACCACTCGAGTTGCGTATAGAGTTAATGTATATCCGAAAAAATTAATATCCTGCCAGATTGTTTCTTTACAGAATTCGTATAAGAATATACGATTACATATGCCGGCTGTATAAATTAAACCACTCGGTTACGTAATCGCCGAGTAGACTCTGAATGGGAATGATCTTCTCTCACGGAATTAAAGTAAATTTCTCACTCCTACGCCCACAAAAGTACCATCACTTGGTTTCCGGTTTCAATGAGCGACTAGATCGTATATTCGCCTTGTACAGTCGAGGTAAGCTAATTTGAAATCATGCTTTGATGATCGCCTCTTACCGTCAAAGTAGCGTTTTTGTCTCATCGCTATCTAAAGAGCAATGATCTAGGATCTCTGTTCTCGTCATAATAATAAAAAAAAAAACAGCCTTCTTACAATTCGTTGTCTTAATCCTCCGCTATTCTAGATTTTTTTCCAAATTCGGCTCGACTAAGAATTGTTCCAGGCCTGTTTGCTGCGATAAAGGTTGAGCAAATCTTTCGCAAATTATCAAGTCCAGCATAGTCAGATTCCGTCTTCAATGACGTAAACCCCCACAAATGGGGCACTAAACAAAGTATGAAGCGAGAGTCCTCCAATTTCTCAATCACTCCAAATTGCGGCTCACAGCTAAATGTGATTGGCTGAGGTTGGGTTTTGTCTTCACCAAAGACTGCCCAAACTGACTCATACTGACATAAAGACCCACCCCGACGAATATGCCAGCAGAGGTCAGAGTTTGGGCAGATCGCTTCCAGAAAGGGGAAAATGGAATTCAAGGTCGGCATCGAAAAGCCTAGCATAGTTAGTAATTATAATCCAGGATCTGGGAAATATCAACGAAGACTGACCGTCAGGGCGATAAGTAACCTTCAACATAATTAATTCTAACATTTGGTTTTCTTCATCTAGAGACTGCCAGAGTGCATTATCAACAGAAGAAGTATGTTCAGAGCCGAAGTCGATAATTGAAGCTTGACGGTTGAAATGTATCAGATGGGAACGAAGATCTCGTGAGGAGGCTCTGGATACATGTCAACGACAATATGTAATATGACGACTTCTTTCTTACCGATTGAGGATGTGCAGAAAGACACGTTCACGTTCACCCTCTGATATCATGCTTAAAGGTCGAAGTCTTCCGCCACACACTCGGAAGGGCTGCTTCATAGAAAAAGTGTACGATTCGGAGAAATCGTATAGAACTGTATCGTAAATGTCATTGGGAAGTCGAAAATGGAAATCATGGATGTCGCCATGGGTTAAACCAATTCGATGCAGAGCATCTAGGCGACGAAGTCGGTCTTTGAGTAAAGAATGATACCACTGTTGCTCGAATGGGCTCAAAGTAATCACTCCAGGGGTGGTAAAAAATCTTTCAGACAGTGTTCTTAGAATAGTTAAGAAACTTTCAGACTGGTTATTATCAAGTTCACTAAGAACACGTCGAGAACGCAAGTCCGGTTTTATAGCCTCTACCACAATCGCTCGTTCGTGGTAATATCCAGAAGTAAATCGGGATTTTGGTATATCGGTGATCACTCCGTGAAATTGTGGGAAATAGATTCTTTCGCGTGCGGAACAGTATAGATCAATATGGCTGTATGCCCGAGCCTCCCGATAAAATCTGTCGAACTCATTCATAGCATCGTTGATTAGATCGGGAGTCAGCGGTACTCCAATACGATGAAGCTGTATTTTAGCGTCTTGCTCAGAATAGCAAGGAAACTGGTGTACGATTAATCGGAGCACGCGTATAAAGATCATCTCCACTTACGACTTTCGCGATATATTTTCTGTGTCCTCTGATGCGAAGCCAAAACACCTGTATTGTGTTCGCATTCGACACTCTTGACTTGTCGGCCTTGGTTCCTAGTTCCCAGCTGTTGTCTTCAGCATGGAAAGATCGGAATTTTTGCCCCTCAAGTTCGCTTGCTTTCAGTATGTCTGGACGACTGCCAGAGAAAAAAAAGGTTCATCCAGTTGACGTCTTCCCCCATGGCAGGCGTTCCGACTGATGCAATAAAATATAGAGATGATCCTGCACTCGCTTTGAAGTCAGTCGCGAAAACAGTTAACACGAGAATGTGTTGAAGTTGATGGATAAAGAAAGACGCCGCCAGAAATTCTGGTTGTCATGTGAGATCTTGTCATGTGAGATACACCCGTCTTATCCGCGTATTATGTCACCCATTCATTCCCATCTTTCCCTCCATCTTTCCCTCCATATCTTCCTTCATATCTCCTATCATGGTCAAGCCTGTTAGACAAAGGCCGTCACGCAAGCCACTTACCACTACACAGGCCTGGACAAAAGTAGAGACCACCGCCTACCGTCTTGGCGCTGCCGAGTATCTTGGAAACAAAGACTCCAACCGTATTTCCAAAGCATTTCTTTTGCTAAATCATCCGCCACAATCTACCAGTCACCGAAAATATCGACTCTTTCTTCTCCGGAAAGAAATATGCGGCCCTCAAGGCTTACGCTTGTGCGCCGTCGCGCTTGGCCATGACCATATCAGAGACATGAGTAATGGCCACCGTGATGCGCTCCTCGATAAGCTGGGCGAGATGAGACACCAGCCATTGATCAAAAACTCGTTGTTTCGCTCGGACGATACCCAAGAAGATGGACCATTGAATGGTAAGCATTGAACTTCTAGAATTACTTGATTGCCTAAGAAGAGTGACTGACGACAATAAGAACAAATGAACCAAGCAAAACAAATTGCTCCAGGTGACGATTACGGGTGTTCGCCATGCTCGAATTCAAATGGGACCACCACCCCTCGATACTTACTTACAGTCATTAGCGAAAACAACTTCCACCCCAGACAATCACTTTCAACTTCAGGGCCCCACTGCCAAGACTTTAGTTCGTTCCTTTTATTTAGCCTTATGGTTATGATCATATAATTACTTCGTGTTGTAAGCATATCTATTTTGACCATCTGTATCGTCGTCCATGTACTTATGCATATATGCTGGCACTACAGAGCGTGACCGGGGTTCATATTTAGCTCTCGTTTAAGGTTGTGTAGGCATTCATGTTTCTTTAGATAATAGCGCCCTGAAATTCATTGTAGAACAATATATTAGTCTGCATTTCAGTGAACCCCGTTGTTTTTGCAAAGACCGACATGTCCCGTATGAATCACCTTTTCTACATTTGCCCAGAATTACACTGGCAACTATTTATATACGACGCCTCAGCTGGCGTATGATTGTACTTGGATTAATGATGATATACCTATAGCTTTCATAAATAAACTTTTGCTCGAGAGTGGACGAAGAGTCTCAAGTTTGCATATATTCTATGTTGGTATAGAGAAACAACATAGATCACAACTCCTATCTAGCTGATCCCCACGACACTTTTACTTGACCTTCCTACTCGGCTTTGCTTTGTTCCTTCTTGTGTTCCATTGGCGGTTGCGGCTGAGGTGTGCTCGTGTGTGTTTCTGAATTCTCTCACGAATGATCCTCCTGACTAGATATCTTTTTGGGCGTAGAAGGCCCAGAATATTGTCCCAAAGAGGATGCTTCAAGACCACCTTTAAGACGTTTGCTGTGATTCTCACTGCAATATCCTTTCGACCCATAAGGTACTGTATGATGCCCAGCCCACTCCCCAAGTTCGCCGCGGCAGATTCCAAGACCTTACTCGTGATTATGACTTCGTTCCCCTCGCTGTCAAGGAAATCCACAAGAAGTCTAATGATTGCCAATCCGCTTCTCCCATTACTTGCAGCAGATTGCACAACTTCATTGGTGATCCGTATTTCCCCCTTCTTCGTTCAATTAGAAGTTCCATGATTGCGAATCCACTCTCCTCGTTGGCAGCAGCCTTTTGCAAAACACTATCAGTGATATCGATTTCATCTCCTTTTCGATCCAGGAGAAATTTCATGACTGCGAACTGACTGGCTGCAGCTTTTTCCAAAACATCATTTGTGATCTGGATATTTGAATCTTCCAGAAGGAAGAACGCGATATCTTCCAGTCCCCACCTCGCTACCCAGAAGAAAGGCATTGGCTCATGTGCATAGCAATAGTATCGGAGCGGTGGTTCCACGGAACCAATCCACACCGATGCCTGTTTCAGACAACAGAGGCTACCCGCCAGGCGGAGAAAATGAGGCTTTAACCCGCGTGTGTGACGCATATGCTCAATCCAATAGGTTGCGGAATATCTCAAAAATGTATCGTTCTCAGTGCAAGGCTCTGCACCCGTGCGGAGTTGGCATGAACTCTTCTGGATTTCCTCGTGCAAGTAAGCCACACAAATTTCCGAAAGGGCTCGATTTGCTTCTTGGTGCTGGACACATCCTTGCCGTACCATACTCTCTGGTCGCTCAACCTCTCTTTTGATGAGAAACTCCCTAGCTGTTTGGTGAATGAGGTAGATTTTGGAGTTGTTGGTGAAAATAAACAGTCCGCATAATTGCCGAAGCTTCTCATCTAAATTCATTGAATCTAACCCACAATTCTGTGTCGTTCGTGGCTTTGAGCTGGTAGCAATGCCTAACGCCATGGCCATCTCTCCTATTGTCAGAGGACGACGTGCCGCCACGATAATTTCCAATATCTTCTTGACTGTATCCCATTGATCGCGTGGGACTCGCGAGAGAATCTTTTCATATGCTGAATTCACAGAAGGCGGTATCGGTATCTGTGCAATCGAAACCTCAGCAGGCCGAAGGCTGCGCTTGAAAGTGGTACAGATATCATCAATGGCTAGGTGTAGCCAGAGATATGTACGGTTTTCCATTTGAAGTAGCTGCTGTTCGATTCGACGATGAAGCTCTGGCGACAGTGGTACTGTTTCAGCTAGTTTTCTCACCCAAGTCCTCACTACCAGATCAATCTCCTCATGGATTTGGTCATTCTGTTCTTCCCCCTTAATATGTATATGGGGAAAAGAATCGTTGATTACTCGAAAGTGATCCTGTATATGATCGTAAGGACGGCTGGTGACCAGGAATTTCAAACATGTTTGCTCTGTCGAAGAAGATGGCTGGCGATGAAACGCTTGGAGCTTTTCAATTAATCCGCGTTGATCCGTTTCGCGGCATTCGTCAAGTGCATCGAATACGCAAATGGTCTTGCACGACATGTCGGCTGATGTTGCCGCCATCAAAATCCGCCAAAGCTCGTCAACTTCTTGTCTAAGTGTCTCCCCGTTCTTTTCCCAGGCCGGAATGGCATGTGTCAATAGATCAGAATGCTGGCTAAATAGCTGATGAAGTACCGAACATAGCGCCGTAGCAAGATTGTTCTGTTCATCATTGTCCTTGAAAAAAAAGTAATATATTCTCACAGCTTGATGAGAGGTCTCTGGGTGACCATCAATTATCGATCTGGCGAGGACAGATTTTCCGCAGCCTGGGTCAGCCGACACCCAGAGAAGATCGTTGCAGTTGCTCTTCCACCAACGGATGTATTCAGAGCTCTCGAAAGCCCATCGACAGGTTCCCTCAGCACGTTGAGGGTTTATATTCTTTTGCTCCGCGTAGTTAACGACCTTGAATACTTGGTAACAAAGGCGCTGTTGATCCGTTAAGACTCTCGCTTTCTGTTCTCTAAAGTGCCGTTCGTTCTGACTGTATGCTTGATCTAAGCGATATTGGATGCCTTTCAGCTCCTCTAAGTAATGCCTATGTCAATAATTGATGACAAAATGGTTGGAAGACTGCGCTAGACTAACCAGACACAACAGCACTTAACCTCTCCTCGGCTTCAATTCTGTTGAGAGGAATTCTCTGTAGCAGATCCTTTGTATATGCAGCTGCCACCATAGCTGCATGCCCTTGCCACTCTTTGTTCTTGTGCGAGTCAGAGTAGTCGCAGATACCCCTGATGACCAGACATGGGAAAGTATTCATCAGCCCCGCGGCTTCCATTTCGAAACAGAGGACGTCTTTCTCGGCGGCAAGCCGATCTCGAATCAAAGCATTCTTCATGAGCTGATTGCCAGAAGCAATCACGCCATAGTGAATCGCAGGGTTATCCTCGTCGTCAGCCCGCTCGTTTCGCAGTACCAGCGTGGAAGAATCAACCGCACACATAGCACAGCCAGCCTGGTGATGGATAACTTCGGGAAGAAACAGCCTATCGGTGATTGGTTCTGGCCGTTTGTACTTCCGACAAAGTCTCATGTTCTTCCCAAAAATTCTGTTAATGGCTTCTTCAAGCTGATGCCCTTTTATCTCATATTGAGCTCGAATACCCACTATTGCAGCGCGCAAAATAGCCGGTGGCTGGTTTAAGAACCGTGTGTGCTGAAAACTTTGGTCCTGAATCGACTTGCCGAAATCGTATTGAAACACACCACTATCACCATCGCGAGGCGCACTGACCACAACATCGCCCAACCGAATATCATGGCTCTCGCTTGGTACACCCCCGCCAATCCCGACCATGAGGCCGATCCTGACGTTGTGGAAACTGTTGAGCATGTTTGTCGCTACACTAGCGGCAGAAGCTGTTCCATATTCACCATCGGGTAAGACGGCGATGACGACGTTGTGTTCTCCCATCTTGCCCAACGCATAGTCGTTGGTATCGTTTGGCGACACAAAGCGGGGTTTGTCGTGCTTCTCATCGAGGAATACTTGCGCGGAAACATATTCTACGGGCAAGGCGCAGATCCAGCCTACGGTGTAATTCGCAGGATCCGACAAGGCTTCAACGTGAGAAAGATTCGGAGAATGAGTCACCCGCGTGACCTTTCGAAGGTTCTGACTGGTGTGCAAAAGAGGCCTAACTCAAGCGGATAAGATATACCAGTATGAATGAGCAAAGGAGAGCGGAGGGGGCTTGAGAGAAAGAAGAAGCGCTGTGAGGAAGAGGGCAAACGTTTGCCAACCGGAGAGGCTCAGCCTTATGATGAACACGACGTGCAGCGGGCAACGGGGGCCGGCGGTTAGAGAAGAGACGCGATTGGCAGGAGGATGGAAGCAAAGAAATCAAAATCAGCCTTGGTAGAGAAATCCGACCCCAGTGATATTCCATGAAGTCCCCTTCCTGGAGAAGTCTGTTCTGCTGTATTGGCAACGGAGCGCGCCGCACCGAAACCCCCTCAAGGCCAAGTTTCGTAGACCCACTATCACCGAAGGTGCACTAATAACAAATCAACCCCGCCTTGACGTCCCTGTGTAGGCCACGTGACTTATGGTGGTATGGAAATACCATGATCCGCGCTATCAAACCAGAATATCATATGGAATTTTTGGGGACAAGGACGCACTATTCCGTGATAAGGGAAACGTCAGCATCTAGTCTTCGAATCATGAGGGTTGTCACAACTCTACGTCCTTGGCATAAGTCAAGACCCCAACAACACAGCGGGAATCAAAAAACTGTTCGAATTATATGCAACGGAAAAAATTGAACTACTATGATCGTAATCTGACATTAATAAGTTGATGCGGTTTAAGGGATATATATTCATGGAAGCAGTAATTTGAGGGCGGCAACTATCGATTGATCTTCATAGCCAAAGGCCCTGCAAGTTAGACATAACGTATGTTGTCTAATAGTGAGGACACAATCAAAAATTATGCCTCCCAATGTTGAGTACAACTGCCATGATAATTTCGCTGTAAATTACAAATCAATACACCCAGGAGGGAACCTGTATTGATGTGCGTTGAATAAATATTAGCACTAGTGCCTTGGCAGTGGGGCCCGAGGAAAGAAAACGAGTCTTTAGGGAGGAAGCTGTTTTCGCTATCGACTGTATCAACAATGCTGAGGCCGATCGTTCAATTGCTTCGGTCGGGGAACTAGTGAGCTCAGAGTCCAGATGGTCCCTTCCCGATGACTCTCATACTATGGAAAACAGAGAAACTGCAAGGTTCATTGTGAGTTCAAAACTCTGCTTGTTTATCATACCTCTAATTGGGTCCAACAGCAACTGTACCATATTGCCACGCAGATCAATACTTCACGCCAGTGTCAAACATCCCACAGAACGAAGGACAAGATGATATTCTCTCGAGCAATTAGTAGGTCGAAGTCTATGCAAATCAATACAGCGGCCTTGAGTGTAGCATTTGCACAATACATGCAAATGATAAAATTAGCTCATTCAAACGAGGATCCAAAGCCTAACCTGGTAGTTCAAACACACAATTATTCCCAGTTTCCAAAAAAGTCTTAGCGCCCCCCACCAAAACATAAAGAACTCATTGACAAATCTCATGTTTGTACCGTTTTCTATCACAAGAGTACCCCGTCACTTCACCCTGCAACGACTACCTAGAAACCAACCCTGACTTTGTCATATTGGCACATCAAATCACGGCTGATATTCCATTTCAACCATACTAATGTTGCTTGATAAATACCGAGTTACCATGCCTCGAATTCGATCTCGTACAGTTTCAATAGAAGAGACTGATAGAAGCCGGTTAGTGTAGAAAAGATTGTTTTCTAGGCTTATTTACCCATCACAAGTGTCTTGCCGTGTTCATCCCTGACGATAGAGGACTTTGCTATTGCCTCACCTGAAAATTCAGAGGCAATTATAGCATCGTAGTCCGGAATGCCCTCGTATAGCAAGACTCGGTCGTGGCTACTTAAGGATAGATTACCGTGGTCTTGCTCGACCCTCTCGATATAGATCGAGATGCTCAGGACCTAAGGAAAGTCAGTATGAGTTATCAGCTTGTTTTTTAACCTAGCTCACATGGCCATTTTTTGAAGGGTCATGTTTCAGTAGCCTATTGAGGAGGTGTTCTGAGGATATGGCAAAGTCTGCCCAGTTAGGACTTTCCGAATGGATAGATTAGCTTTAGCCTACCAAGCTCTTCGACCTGCCAGATAAGGTGAATCCGCCGAATATGCATTGTGCGGGTGTTGTAGCCATGTATTAGCATCGAAATATAGGGAGTCACGGCGGCCAGGCCGGCGTCGCTAGCTATAAGAATAACATTTTCGTATTCCTCCACTGAGTAGGTGATACCGTGGGGCCCGGTCCATAGCGCCATCAAAGACAATGAGCTAGCTGCGTCAATAGCCCTCGCTTGCCGATAAAGGGAGGCAGATTGTCCTTTCTGGGGCTGTAGTAGTAATTCAAACGTCTCTTGCTTTTCAGGTGCCCATGAGGTAACTGTCAATGGATGGCTTTGCATCCAAGATCCAAGGCTAACTGATGGTAACCAGATATTAATATACTGTCCAGGCAGTACTTTCACTGGCCTTGGGAGTGTAAGCTTTATCGTGACTGAGGTATTTCTCATTATAGCGGCGGGTTGGCAGGTCACGATAGCACGTGGGGATCCACGACCAGAGAATAAACCGTTTTGATATAGAACTGTGAGGAACTGCATTGTGAGTGTAGTTGCAAAACATCCTAGTGTTAGATAAACATAAAACCTAGGGAAGAGATGTGTTGTAGGGACATGTTGCCATATCCCATAAAAGCCTAAGACAGCAAGAGCTTGATGTAGACGGAGAAAGACCTCATATGATAGCTTTCGAACTGTAGGAAGCGACAGCAGCACCAAAAGTCCCAAGCTCGCACCTCCCTGGTTATCCACCTGGTTAATAATGCTTAAATAGTTCGGCAAAATCGCTCACAATTACTGGTGACCAGCCAAGAGAATTGAATATTGTTCTTTCCGGGGCTTGCTCCAGAAATGAGGCTCCAATATGAAGCAGAAGCAGTCCAGTACTCATCCAGCCCATTGAACGATGTAGACGTCGAAGGTTGCCGAGAGATAAACCTAGAATGTCTGCGAGATAACTCAGGTGAATCGAACTCAAGGGTAGTAATAAATTAATTAACGATAGAACCCCCGCGCTATTCCTCACTCCTGTTAAAGAGCGGTCTTGGAACAATATAATGACCACGTGTGTGGTGATATAAGTGATATGAATAAGGCTGATTCCTCGGCTCCAGGGCCCGATCAGCCTATAACGACCAAGAACATATGGGTATGTGATATGACGTGCAACGAAGATTTGGAAAGAAGTCTTCCCTAAAAGCAGTATTTGCCAGAGCTTCATAAGTATGAGAAGTAGTATCTGCCGGAGCTTCAGAAGTATGAGAAGAAGGACCATCGAGCCTGCGATGATCGCGTAAATAGATGTCGGCTGCATATCTTATATGAATTTTTAGCGCCAGACTGACGATCAAGGAATAGTTCAAGAACGGACAGAATCAAAGCGAGACGATTTCTACTTGATGTATTCACAGGTGACCAAAAACGGGTCCCTGTACCGGGGTTGTTTAGATTGTATAGCGACGGCCTTCAAGACCTACCCCGCGGCATGAAAGTGGTGCGACATCACATATTGAACAATTATGAGCGCGGGAAATATAAACTCTTTCTCTTGAGATTTTTCTGATTTCATTATCAGTGAAATTTTCTCTTTTCTATCAGCTTCGTTTGTATTACTGAACATGTCCGGGTCCTCCTCAAGATCGCTAGGCGTCAGCACATCCCCTTTGACAAAGTAGGTCAAACTTTTTCGAGGTTTAACAAATTGGCTTATACTCGATAGAAAGAGATTAGGGTTTCCTCACATCGGTCATCCGTCCACAAAGTATCTGACCAACTGGAGCGTACAGCAATCCGCAAGCGGCTGGCTTAGCCTTGGGAACTACTTTGGGCATTCGGCGGTTTTCATTACCAAGATCAAGGCTGACCCGATACCGCAAAGCTTTGACACACTACAGCCGGCATTTCATGTCAATATTTGCTCGGTAATCGAGGCATTTCTGGACAAAAGTTCAATATACATGGTTTACGGGTACTATGGAATCATCGTTGATCTTGCCCAAGTTGGCACGAGTCCAGCAGTGAGACTCACAGAGCCAGATCTTGCAAGCATATGCAGAAGCGTTCTAAATGGCCTCCAGTATATTCACAGCCAACTTGGCGTTGGACACGGAAACATCACTAGAAGCAATATTCTCCTGTGCGAAAACGGGGACATCAAGATTGGTGAGATGACGTTTAGCTCACCACGTTAGAAATACCCTCTAACATCCACCAGCAAACGTGGGCACTAGCATGCTAGACCAGGTTCCTTTGTCCGAGATGGAGGCTGACTGTCGCAACGTTGGGAACCTTTTGATTGAGATGAGCGACCCCAAAGCCATCTTGGATCCGCTCCGAAGAAAAATCCCAGCTAATCTCTCAAAATATGGTCAGCATTTTGTGACCCAGGTTGGGTCGTCGTCTTATTCATACATATTTGAGGTAAGCTTGAATAATTTCAAACATACTGAGACACTATATTCACATAAGGAATCACCTCCAAAGCATGCCTTTTTACAGCAAGCCAGTCCTGATCATCGAATGTGGCATCTGATTCCCCACTACTGGGACACCCTCGCCCACTGGGGTCCGATAATTCGATCAACAGGCAATGAGTTTCGATAGCGGTTTGGAGTACATTTATAAAGTTTACTCATTGGTCGTGAATGTTCACGGGTACAATGACGAGGGCTACATTTTCGAAATATATATGGAGTTATCGAATAGAAGTCCTAGGAATCTCAAATTGTGCGATGATGATGTTGGTCTCGCAGCCTACTTAGTCTTTTCTTATAGATAACCACTAGTCCGCATGCCAAACTCGCTGAGAGTCCAGTAGTGATTATTGCCAAAAGAGCCATTATAGACACGTTACCATGCCGCGCGGTACACACATTGATTACCGTTGTGAGGAGGCCAGCGAAGGCATTCAGAAGGGTTGGGCTAGTGACGTCACATGGTCAGCATCACGCAGACTAGCTGCGATATTGGTGGATGACACACATAAATAGCCGATTTGCCAGCCATATATAGTTGGTACTGTGTCTATTGAACAGCCAGCCCATTATTGCCGTGCCGAGTACGAACAGAACACATGAAATGGCTAGGAGTGGTGGGTTTTGAATAGTATTGAGGATTGCACTTCCAGCAGTATTCTTAGAAAGACTGTCATTGACTGCATTCGACTTTTGCAAAGAGGTAAAGGTCCCTGGAACAACGAGATAGCCAGCCAGCAGAACCCAATTAGCCCCACTAGCGAGGATGTTATATTCCCAAGCTATTTCGTCTGCCTCCACAATCATTCGGACATATGGGGTTTCAAGATCCTCATATGATTCACCAGTTCCTTGTCGATTACTTACTGCCATGTTCAAGCACAATCCTAGTAAGAGGGTAGGTTATCCACTTTATAGGACAGATTAAGTGCCGCACCAGAATGGGAGCGCACCACTGCGCGTGGAATTAAATCATGTGACTTTGGGCTATGGCACAGAGTACGAAGATCTGACTCAGTGGCTGGAAGAGGGTACGGAGACATGTAGGCGTATAATAATAATCATTTATCAGTTCTCCTATTATTAATCAGTTGTGATATTCCTGATACAGTACGTCCCGAAACTGGGGTCACCACCTGCACTGATTCTTTCTTTTTCGAGCCCTAATTGCCAAGATACAATAAACCCTACCAGGATTCTTCCGGACTATGCCCTTTGGTGGAGCTCGTATCTGTGATATAAAAGGTTATCGAAGTTGTAGCTTCCCGTACATTACCTGTATTATTAATACGTCTGACACTTGGACACCCCACCTTGAAAATTCCAGCCGCATTAAAGGACAAGCTTATTTTGATTGGCAGAGGACTCTTAGCCTCACAAGTAACAGAAGTTGCCTGTTGCAGCAAGCATATCGCCCAAATTTATTTCGATATTCGTTTTTCGGTACGGTCAAAGCACCGCCCAACAAAACTGAACGGCCTCGCAATATTGTGCCAGGCATGCTCAAGAGCCATTTGCAGGTGTAGACTCGAAGCCCAGCAATGAACTGACGATATATCTACTGGACTAGTTCATCCACCTTCCTTAACAAGGCTGGAAACGATATGAGGACTTGCCTGAGATGAGCCATAACTTAAGCATCTGATAGCTCGGCAATCTTATTAAGGAAATTCTGGTCAGGCTTTAATAGCTTGTTCTGTTGATGAGCTGCCCTTGTAATAGGAAAATCTTGTGGCTACTCTACCCTTGACTCGCACCCTTGGCAGTATCTCATTACCGTAATAAAAATTGATATAATTTGCATCAGAAGGCTGCAAGACGTGAAAGTTGATTCACCTGTGACTTTATTCTACACGGTGAAAAACTAACGATCAATGAATTGTTCATGTCGGTGAGATATATCTTTTCCCCGACCACACTTCCGGCACCGTACTTGTAAAGCCGACATTGGTTTTCTTTGACCACAATTCTCACAGTCTCCCAATAATGGGGCATCGAAAAATGTGTCAAGCACTTCTTTCACAAATTCTGGCACTTGGGCGGCGATTGAATCGTATTTCGCGCGGACGGGTGTATTTCGTAAATGGAACCCGAGATTGTCTCTGGACAAGCAAATAGCGAGCTGTTTAAGCTCATTGTTGTTGGTCAGTGGCGAGAAAAAGATATCGGGTATCGAATCAAGATATTCCAAAGGGTCAAAGTGACTCATAATTCTGTTGAAATATTTACCCACGGCCGCGTCACAAAGCTCAGGGATACAATATTTATCGCCCAAAGTAAACACTTTTGCATTTAGTTGAAGGACAGATATTGGCAAAAGCGGCACCTGAGGTGAAGCATCTGTCGGGCTAGCATCGATGAGCTCTGAGTAATCGCCCGTGTATAGGTACTCCAGCATTTTTTTGACGACGGAAATTGATTCGTCCGTCATCTGGAATGTAGAATCTGCTGCTTCCTGTATTGAAAATAGGTGAGATATGATAAGGGGAAAATGGCGTAAGTGATAACTTGCCCTAAAATTCCCCATGCAAGCGGCCCGGAAAACAGGAGATTGCGAACATAGTATGACTTTATGAACGCCGAGTTCGACTCCGTCACACACGATTTTGAAATCGGTAAACTCGTCTCTTTCACGACATCTTCCGCTGTCAGTGATTTATTGCAGATATCGAAGAGGACGTACTCTGAAATCTTATCAATGATGCGCTGAGATTGTGTTGGTAAAATGTTAGACATGGTTTTGTTAGCTGCATTTAGAAAGTTTAACACTGCCAGAAGAGGTACATTTTATTTGAATAGTCTTGCGTTCTTGAGGTCAAGCTATGGCGAACCAGAGACCAATATTCAGTGCATGTCTTGACGTAGTCCCTTTCGTCATGACGTCAAGGTGATGGAACATTTTATTCAAGTGTCTCTCTTGTTCAACTACGAGGAAAGACTGTAAGGAAATTCACGGAATAAACAGAGCTAAGAAAGTTTATCCAGGAGGATCCAAAGGCAAACATTGCCGAAAAAAAAGCTAAAGTCGAGAAAAGCGCCGAGAAGAAGTTCAAAGTCAAGGAGAAAACCAAAGTCAAGGTGAAAGCCAAAGTTAAGGTAAGAAAGCGAAAGTTAAGAAAGCCAAAGTTAAGAAAGCCAAAGTTAAGAAAGCCAAAGTTGATAAGAAATGAATCACTCAAAACCAAGATTCAATGAAATATCTTGAAATTGAAGCAGTGCAATTCTTTGAAAAATAATCTAGCTCTAGAAAGCACCTAGACACATAGACTAGTACTTAAGCCATAATTCATCTTGATCATGAACAGGTCTTGTTTTCCAATAAGCGAGAATGCCGACGGAAGTTCAGATTGCTTGATATTCAATGTCTATAAACAAGATAATTGACGGCATCTTGTTCAGTTGGCATATTTTGAATCTTATGAATCAACGACGATATCTCCTTCAACGATCCAGAGCGCAGTTTGGCAGTCAATCGGCTTAGAGCTTCTCCGAATTTTAACAACTCGGCGGTGTGGGCCTTACGTCTCTGATCACGGGCTGGATCATAAAAGCACTGGCGACTTTTAACAATACATGTCGTGCAAGGGCTGGTACCAGAGCACTGCACTAGGTTAGTTCCGTCCTCTAATGGAGAAATGGTATTTCTAACCTTAGACCGTTTCTTTTGACACTCGGTACAGGCTAGAGAGACATTACTCCGCTGTTTCTTCGGCGAGTCAAGTATTGGATGTTGGATGCCGAGTTTGCTGCCTTTTGGGAGCAGCTTGCGCAGAGGGTTATTCTTCGACATTGTAGGATTGAAATGGTGACAGGCGCTTTGCGAGTAGAGAGTTTGGATTTAAAAGTCGGTTTTAAGAGAATCAGTGAGAGCCAGAAACTCAGGGGAACCAGTCAGCCCCTTTTTGATCTACTTTTCACATCCTTGCTCGAAATTCTCTTTGTTTGCTAAACAAAAAATCATCTACAGCAAACAAAGAACCCAGCCAGGAGACCCACATTCGCATACCAATTCGCAATCCTATTGGCGCAGATCACCCGTCAAACAGAAGCGTTGGCTCTCATTGGCTATATTACGTCCCCGTATCAAACCGAGCTGCTTCTCCACGGCTGCCCAATCTATATCAGTGTTCTCTTATCGCCTGTTGCAGTACTTCCTGTGACTGGTGTCACCACTTGCACTCTTTGCTTTTTTACTGAACCCTAATCGTCAGCACACGCTAGTCTATATTAAAAGTTTTCCCGGAGTATGTGATATTCCGGGTGTGTTCTAAATATGGTATGGTATATCTTGGCATTAGGGTTTGAGAATCAATCGAAGAGTGTAGGTGGTGACATCAGTTACGGGACGTATTGTATAATTTGACACACTATGCAGGGAGCTTCTGCAGCTGCTTCTCAACAGCCAAAGCCTCACCAAGCAATCTTCGCCTATGTGCAAAATAGTCTAGTATGAGGTCTAACTGTGAATCATTTTCGGTAGATGGGGTCGAGATCTCTGATTCCGGGGAGATGCGAGAGCCGTAGGGATGGGGTTCGGAAATCCAAGGATGCTCCGGAGCGGGGGGGGTCTCGAATGAGATCAGGGTATAGGTTTTGCTGGCGGCGAGGTTAGTTTGGATGACGGAAGTTGGAGAAGGCTTCGAAAAGTACCAGTTCATCATCAGGCGGAGGCCACGATGAGCTCCCGCTAGAATTATACACATATCTCTCTCGTGAGGAGCATATGACAAGATAGACATCTGCTTTGCACAATTTTGCAAGATCTCGTGCCTTGGACTTCAGGGTACTTGTTCTCTGTCTGAGCTGCTTTCGAACAAGCCTATTAGGATCGGGACCTCCCATTCTTAGTGTTGGGATATTTGGATTGTGGCCTTGTGAAAAGAGATTTGAATGTATTGGACGAAAAAACGTTAGCGGTTATGCTATATATTATATTTAAGGCTACACTGACATGACGCAATCTATTCGGCTAAGTATTCCGTTCCAAGGCAAAGCAGACCTTTTTAGACACCCTTGTCGATGCTGATAATTCGCGCTTGCGCCGCTGTGTCGTACTTCGTGAGGGACCACTCGCGACATCGCAGCTACTACATGCGATACGACTGGGAAGTCCGTGGTTGCTACGACCAAAAGAAGAGGTCAACCCTTGCTTAGCAGCAAAGGCGGCTAGACTTTCCGGGAAGCCGCTCAGCCTCCAACGTCTAGTTGACGATGCTTGTAAAAAAAGATCCACTGGATGGTCAATGTGGTGGGCTAGAAACGATAACGGGCGAATATAGCTGCCACACGATCCACAAAGCTCATCCACGCCATTAAAATCTTCCACCACATTATTACCGGAAACGTAAGTCAACCCTTCGGGGTACAGTCGGTTAAGAGCCGCGATAAGATCCCTAGCGGAGCCCTTGCAGCGGACAAAGCCGCGACACCAGAAAGGGGCCGCAGTGTTTTGGGGTAGTTCTTTCAGTTCAAAGTAGAATCTTGAGACTAGTAGAGTGGTGGCAGCGTCTCGTGCTCTACGAGAACTTCCCGGTTGACTCAAGACCAAGTTTCGATAATCCTCCATCGTTTCCACACTGTCAATTGTGCTGGGTGTTCCGCTCAGGTCAACGTTCAACCGATGGTACTCGGATCTAACAGCGACATCGAGTTGGCTCTTCAGTCTCCTCCAATCACTTTCTGTGCCCAACGTTGACATCCATGCGTCGAATCCCCGGCGGATGAAACTATCCCGGAAAATATGGCGGAAGTGAGGGGTCGGGTTAACATCGGGCTGCGTGATGCCAGTCCCTAGAGAAAGTAATCGAGTGGACCCTATCGCCTCTGGCCAGATCAGATGGGAGATTTGACTGGCGATCTCGCCCGCGAAATTGTGTTTTAATCCCCCGTCCTGGAAGGATCCGATTCCTGGTAGATCAGCAGGGGTAAAAAAGCTAAGAGCGAAATCAAAGCGCGAAAGTAGTTAGTTTAAATATTTAGACCAGCAGGCTAATGCATGTTGTTGTGAGCTAATGCGGGTACGATCACTCACAAAGGGGCAGCAGCAGTTGCTCTAGCGCTAGAGTTCAAAGCCACATCAGTGTTGTACGGTAATCAAGGATGGGATTTAATTACATACGCTTTCCACACGTTCGGCTCGTGTGCAATATCAGTTGGCCGAAGAATTTGGGTATCTGTGGGACACTGAGATGAATGCGAATAATGGGATGATCGGCACTTGTACTGACCCCCTTGATCCTCCGGTTCGCTAACGGTATTGAAGTTACCAATCACAAACGCCCCTGTTTCCCTAGATATGCTAGTAGTCACCACCCCAATTTTAGAGTTTGATTGGAGACTTCCGCGCGGATCGTCCCGGCTGGGGCCAAACATGAGACGATTCTCGCCAAACACGCTTTTAAGGGCATCGTCAAAGACTCGAGCATCATAACAGCTATCATGAAGTAACCAGTGAAGCCATCGACCCACATTTCCAAGCATCGAGCCACTCCGGTATGTGAAATTGAGCAGCGCAAAAGGCGACCGGCGCCTTGAACGAAAGATTCGCCGCGCTAGCTCCTCAAATATCCCCGAGCATGTTGAAATGTTCCACGACATGATAAACAGACCAATGGCGATGAGGCCGCCTGTGTTGGTTGGTTGGTCAATTTTGTTTTGTGGCTTAGGGACGAAGGAAAAAACTGCCTCGACTAATGAAAAACCTACCCGAACTCGTGCCAAGCGCAAGGTCCACGACATCCTGGATCCGACATGGATGTAAATGTTCCTGGATAAGGAGGAGAAACTCCAGTGGAATGACACCCCTGACACCCCCTCCGTCAATCGCCAATACGGAGGGGCTCATTGTTGGTGGTAATATGCTCGCGACCAGAGGCCTTTGGTAAAGACAGTAAATACAACCCCTGATCGTAAATTGATATTCCAGCCCAACAGTTGGTGTGCCGAAAACGTGCGCGCAGCGGTCGCATAGGGTGTGTCCGCAGCCAAGGACATGCTGCGCGGTTTGAAATACGCAGTACAGACAGATGGTGTTACTCCGTATTCGGCACAACCAACCGCTTTGGGACGCGAGTTGGCTTTTGCGGAGCTCGACTGCCGTCTGGTCGGTTTGCACAAGTGCGTCAAATAAGTCAATGAGATGCGCCTCCACTTCACTAGCTTGATCCTCAGACGGTCGATTTGGCCAATAGCCTGCGCGCTCGTGGTAGGCTTCTACAATCGCCGATCGATACAAGGTCCGAAAAACCATACATGGGTCCAACACTACAGTAGAGTTCGTTAAATTTGCCACTCGGAGGAAACTTGCAACGAAGAAATATCTGACTTAGCATCCCAGGGACATAATTGTCCATTAACACGGCAGAGGCAATTGTTGGTGCGATGTGCGGCCCGCGCACTCCTGCCTTAACACAAGCGTCGAGGTAGTAAGCGACATTGGGTTTTATATAGGGGCTCACTGTATAGATCGCTCTGGTAGCCCAGATCAAGTCAAACGGGGTTGAAGGATTCACCAGGAGTTGCTGAAACGCGGCCTGGAAGAGATCCGCCAACTGTTCGGCATTAGGTCGGACTCGCTGCTTCTCTCGCACGGATCTCGTTGCGTCTAGCTCCCGCCCCACAAGAGCTCTTAATGGCTCGCAGCGTGCGGTATCAGATAGCGCCGTTGGTTTGAGATGTACCGTCGTAATCTCCGCGAAAGATCCACAAACGCTAGCAAATTCCGGCTCGTGGAGCATCTTGTGTAACGTGAATGCTGGGGTATTGCCTGTACCATCATCCCGTTCTCCTTCGGATATCAAAATAAGTCGTGGTAAAAGCCTAGCTAAAAGAGAGTGGGCGGGTCGGACGTTTGAGAATATGGTCAACAGCTCCAGGATTTTTTCGTGACCAGGGAAATCATTCAGAAATATGCAAATAACATCCGTAAACAAAAATACCAACTGCGCCCACAACACAAGCAACACGTCCTGAGCCGAGCCGCATTCCCAAAAGATGGGGTGACCCACCCCGGCGCTTAGCCGTTTCAACGGTGATTTGCGATCATTTTGACCGATGTCCCCATCTACAAAGAGAGTTGGCTGCCGGCAGCCCAAAGAAGCAACGTCACTCCTCAGCCTCACCTTGTAGCTCGAAACATGGCGCTTAATATTATTCCAAGGGTATAATTTCTGGAGAATGTGGTCCTTACAACGGCCACCTATATACGCACAGACAGATGGGTATTTTTCTTTCGGATTGTCCAGTTGGGAAACAATATTCTTCAGACGTTCGCTATTAATAATAGCAGGTCTGGAATTTTCTTGTCTTCCAATATCTAGCCACCCGATGTGCTCTTTTTGCGACATAGTAGATGATGGATAGATTTTAGAAGGATCAAGAGGGATTCTTTTCTTTTTATATGAAAATATAGGAAAATGGTTAGTACTGTTGGACATTCTTTTTTCTTTTTTTTCCAACTCGCTTTATTCAACCAACTTAGGTCGTTTCATATGAAAGTATTACAAGGGTTATATCTCCGAATTTCACCCTCTCAGCCGTTAAGGAAACGCTCTAGAACACTCTAGACAGTATCCCCCAAGGCATCAATTTCTAAGCAAATCCACACAGGGGTGATTGAAGGTGATAAGTACTTTGGCTCTCACCCTTGTAACAACCACATCCAATGGCTAGGGGATAAAAACCAACAACCCACTTCCGTAGACTCGCGCAATGTCTCACTTGACCTTTTCCTATGCAAGAGCCGTCAAAAATGGCAAGCATAAAAGCAGGGTAGGAGAGAACAGCAGTAGCAGGGGTGATTAGGACAATTAATTTGGCTAGTGCCTAGCCCCATGTCGACGCTGGATTTTATAAGAACCTCTTATAGGTACCATGTCGAGCCATACCCTTTTCCTGTTCAATGGCCAGCACCATTTACAATATGTCTGACTCAGTCTGGTGCAATGATACGTCTGACAACACCCGATTTGACCATCCTTTTTCCCAAGACATCCACATAGACGAAGACTTGATGGGGTCTTTACTACATAATGTAGATGACTATGGCGCCGGGTTCGTTGATTTCGATACCTCGGCCAATGAAGAAAGGTAGGCTCCTTGTATGTGTGATGGTCTCTAATGTATGAATATTAACAGTAACTATAGTCTGCGGGGTTTAGGAATGTCTGCGTTAAGCGTCAGCAGCCTACTCAGGTCTGCCAACGACGCTGTCTCGGTTATCAATTCTCTCGACGCCTCGATAAATAATCTGATCCGGGCTCTTGGGTGTTCAAACGAAATCAGCACGGGAATTGAAAGCTTGAAAGGCTCAGTCAATCATTTGAACACGTTGACTGCTAGTCTGTCCCGACGACTTGATGCGTTTATGGACTTGGCTGAACAATTTGAAAACAAAGTCGCTCGTGGCCTAGACAGCGTGGACGCATTGGAGGGCCTGCTAGGACGTGTGGTCAGACTTGAACAAACCGCAATGGAAAGAATCGAGAACCTGGCAATTCGTGCAAGGAGCAGAGATATTCGGGAGTCGTGTGATCGTTGAGTGCATGGATAGGTAGCAGTTCTACATGATCAGAAATGACGGAATGGAGAGGCTGTTTGATTATTTTATTTAAGCTTAATATCAATATCGATAAAAACATATGTAAAAAATCGCTTTAATATAATATTCATGCAACTGTATGTATTAAAGAACCCAACATCGTGATATGCCAACCTTTAGCTCGAGTCAATTGCGAAAGCTAACTGTCTAGGAACCTTAAAGGTTGCCCTCTGGGGCTTGGTCCAAGTTGAAGTCCCATAAACTCAAGTATCGGCGCTCAGCTTCTTGTAGATTTGCCATCGATTCAGTGATTGCATCTTCCATCAAGCTAAAGATCCCGCTCATTCTCTCATGAAATTGTAAAAATATTTGTTTGCTCTCTTTATGCCATTGTAATTCAGCTTTCAGATAGCTGGCCTCATACACATGTTGCTCCAACTGAGTTTTGAAGTCTGGCGAGCGGTATTTCGCAGGCTGAAGGCGGGATTGTAGTCTTTCGATCGTTGAGGAGCTTCCCCCGTTGCGAAGGACCTCATGGTCTGCCGGGCTTATTTCTTCGGAAATAGGAGCTAGACGTTGAGGGGAATAACGGTTCATTTTCGATTTTCTGGGGAAGTATACGGCAGAGAGAAGATTCTCTCTAGAGGGTTGGCTTCACGATATTTGAAGGGTCTAAAAATCACCCACCCACTTTGACATCTTCTTGCGACCCAAATTTGGTTCACAAAAGGGTCAAACCTCGCAGGCTAAAGAATGTGAATCTCATATATTTTTGGTAGAGACAAGCGCTAATGCAGGCCGGGTGGTCCGCATGGTGAGAGGGTCATGGGACCTGACAGCTGCCAGGGTCAGCAACGAAACCATCTAATGATAGGGTCGCACCTGGGGATAATGAGATCGCTTTTAGAATTGCAACAAACTATCAACTATGTATCATACCCCTATCTCGAGTCTTTACACCTTTCTCGGTCTGTTGTCTTGGCCAGGTGGCGTACGGTAGTGTGGCAATAATATGACCCCTCCCCCCCTTCCCAATTTTCGGTCCTTAGGGATGAATCACGTGTATCTGAGTTCTAGTTAAATGTAATGCAGCTAAGCATCAATTTTGACTCAATTCTCTTCAGTAAATCAAACTTCTAAAGAATCAATTTATCATGCCCAACGAAGAGTTTGAGATGGCGTACAGTGAGGACGGAGCCCAGGTAGGCATTTTATTGCTGATTTGGACTTCATACTAACGGAGGGACATGCAGCCAAATTCCATCAAAGACTATCAACCCGAGATATTTTCATTTATCACTCAGCTAGTTCGCCAGGAACAAGCATCTAAATACTATCAAGGGCAGCTTGAAACGAGGATCGGAAATGACTCAATCGCTCATCAAAAGCTAAGCATTCACTGCAGTCACTTAGAAAGGAAGATATTCGGTCTGGAATATGTGAAATCGCAACTGGAAACCTCTCATCGGGTTGCTACAGAAACCTGCCAGGCTATTGCAAATGACTTAAGCATTGAAAGGCATAAGATGCAAAACCTTGAATCACGCCTTTCAGACTTGTATCCCACGCTCGATCGGCTGTTGTACTACCTCAACCAGAGCTCAGGTCAGCAACAAAACACAAGCATGCACCAAACTCTTCAGCAAGAGAACCATCGTTTGCGTGAGGTAGTGGCCTACCTCCAAGCCTCATTGACTGCGCGCGAAGAGATGGTTAAAGATCTACGAACTACATTCTCCGAGGCGTTTCTCGGGTTTTCAGATAACGCTGTCTATGGGGGGGATGATGGTGAGGAAAGTATTTACCAAAATGGCGATTCTTGCGCAGACGATGAATCGTCTGTTGATATAGTCACCGTGAAGCCAGAGCCTGACAATAGTGACATGGTTTGAATTAGAATGGGTATAGTTGTTTCCAATTTCCAATTTCCAAGGGTTCTCTTCTAACTGATCAGGTGTCATCTCAACGTGGTCCAGTCTTGGAAAATGTTATCAGATTGGTCTGCACGATATGAAGCATAGATATGATTGAATTCATGTATTCAATTCCTTATATCTTCCTATTTCAATCCATTCCCTAGGATTTTCATATGAAACTAATTGACCGTTCAAGGGCCTAGGAATATTGAAGACCAATCTCATAGTTTATAAATCGTTATAAGATATATCAGTACCTAAGTATTCGTAGTAGCCTGAATAAAGTCTAACCTTTCACACAGTGAGATGAAAGGGCAATAGATAGGAGACTCTCGATGTACATGGATATGACACGAAAGCAGCAGCAGCCCTGGAGGCGTTGACTATCAATATACCAAAGGTTGATGATGGGATATCTGATAAAAGGATAAATATCGACGTAAAGCAGCGCAGCGCACCTACTTCAAATCCCTCCACTCTAACTTCAACTGTTTACATTAGAGAATGCATATTTTGGAGTAGTTCAAGGGGGCCCAGGTTAATACCTAATTATTGAGCACCTCGGGCACTAACCAAAAGTTCCAGTCGACAGGATCTTCAGCAAAATACCTTCCACCAGTGTGTGAAGAGGGTATATTGTTGGGTAGAATATAGCTTCCAGTGGAAAATTTGCATGTTAAAGATTCGACAAATACTGAGGCGGTTGAACTTTGAGATAAGATAAAAGTGGTTAATCGGGAGTAAGAGGGCGTAGAGTAGTGGACAGCTTCCGCGGGGGAACCTAACGACATGATGGGCAGACGAGAAACTGATTTAGTGGAGAAAGTTTCACAGGTACTATATTCAAAAATAAAAGCATACAAGGTTAGAAAAGTAAGAGGTCGACAGCCCCGCGGCCCGAAAATGGGTTGCAGTCGGGGGGGGCGGTAGATTAGCTTACAGCCAGAATAGGTAACTACCTTTTTTCAAGTGAATTATACAGAATATACGAGGTTTTTGATAGGGTAATATACTGTCGCTTCGTGGTAAACACATTTAGTACGGATAGCCATATGGAATGCTATCTAGTACAACTTCACTGCGTACCTAAAGTAGTGCTGTTGTAGCGTAAAGCCAATGCAGCTTGACGATTATTCTTATAGTCAGGTATCATTAAAGAATATCCACTACAACTGAATTGGGAGCGCTCCCAAAGTCAGCAATACATAATCTCCAAGAGTATAGTTAGTTTAAAATATCGCTTAGCTAGTTAAAAAAAGTAGGTTGTGGTTTTAAAACGACAGATTGATATACCTACGAGGCACTGCCTGGAGACTGTTAGGTCTAAGTAAGTACCGGAAAAAGATCCATTAGCCATCTAACCCATTGTCTCAGAGCCGGATTTTAGGATCGATGATCCGCCTTTCGGAATATTAGACCGAGGGCTCAGGATCTGTCAATTAGAGAACCAGTTAAAGGGTGGGAAGAGTGGCATTAAGAATTGCTCCGGACGTCTTAAAACAGTCTAGTTCTGTGAAAAGAGAAATAATACTGGATGCATATTGCTCTTATAGTCTGCTGTACCGATTTTGGTACAGCTCGAGGGTGCCTACTAGGTAAATTCTATGTACCATATCATCAAGCAAGTTCACGGTTGAACTATTAAAGCCGGGCATTTCTCGACTTTTTATCAACTAGAACTCCCTTAAAATGGCTTTCTACATGATTTTCTTGCTACTCGGACTTCACGTGCACGCTTCTTTAGGTGGCACACTCACAGTTATCGATTATGGGGGCCAATGTGCGGTTTGGTCTGGTGATAACTATGGATGTACAGGGTCTTCTGAGACCTTTTCCCTTATAAAGGGCAACGACTGCTCCCGTGAGTGAGAAATAGCTGATTTACCACTCAGAAATACTAAGCCTTTTCTTCTAGAATTGAGCAAGGTTGTCGACGGGTTGCGTGTGGAAATGGCCACACTTAACGTTGGTATATGTGGGACCCAAGAAGGCCGCCCAGTTGCTTGGATTGAGATCAAGAAAAGCGGCCACGTCACGTTTTCTAACAAAGATGGCGCTCAAGCCGGATGCAAGCTCGACGATTCGTTCAAAGTTGGCAGCTCTTGTACTGTGTCTAATGCGATCAAGTCACCGACTGCATCTACCACTTCAACCCTGAAGACTTCTTCAACCACTACCGTTACGTCTCAAGCTGCGGAATCTACATCTGAATCATCAATCCTTGTGGCCTCGCCGACTTCGTATGAGTCAGAGCCTACTGCCTCGCCGACGGTGGATGATTTGTCGACAGCGGTACTGTCTTCAACATCATCTGGCCTTCCCACTTGTCATGTTACCTCCGAGTAGTAACTTGATAATAGTTACATGTTAAGTGAAGATAGTTTAAACTAGTTGCTTCTACTTGGCTAGAGCTCAGCACTAAATCCAAATAGAAGATTTGAATAATACCAACTCTGTAACCAGATTGCTTCTAGGCTCTACAATCAAAAAGACTACTGTAACCTTGATTCCAGGAGATACAACCTCAAAGTCATTTCTAGATTCTATTATCTATGTATAGTAAAACATGTACCCTAGGCTTTCTTTCTGTTCTCTATGTACTTGTTACTCTCTTTATTCCTCCATATCCTTGTTGTGAGCCTAGTATTATGAAATACCCACCTCTCCCTCTTATACTTTCTAACAGCTCTGGAAATTTTTATCTGTATATTAAATTGTAATAAATATATACTACGCTTCTAACAAAGGGCCACAAGAATTATAACGGAGAGCCCCACCGTCAACACGCGTACCACCTATAAAACTAATCATGGCAGCTTTGCTGCCTAGCTGCGACCCTAGTTCTGGGCTGGCGGTCCGCATATATGACTAACACTAACCTTTCATATATCAGGAGCCCAGTTTTTTTAGCAACCAAAAGCCACTTTCTGTGTTTACAACCTACTCAACCGAGATTTAACCTTTTCAGGTGTTGATTTAGAAATTCCGCCTAATCAAGTATGATATCTCTTACTATCGAACTACAGGTAGGTAAACTTTACTCTTATCTTATTTCTATCATTATCATATATGTTCATTGTTTAATATAGGAGAATCAGCACACCCAAGCTGAGCAGACAATTCTTAAGGAGACTGCTGAAAGTGACACCGTGAGTACAAATGTCTGTTGAAATCTACATTCTAACTTGATAAGTTTCAAAAGGAATTTGTAAGGGTATTCAAAACGATCAGCGGTCTTGACCTCAAAACTATCCAAGATCTCTTTAATATTCTCGCTCATAATGGACATTGTGAGATTACACGTTCTTTTGATGTTACACCTGTATGTTCCATTCCTCAAGTGAACAACGGTATGATACAACTCCAATATTCGCTCAAGTCACATTCCTAATTCATTCAGAGTATATGGAACCTATGCAGGCCACATCAGGATCCACGAGAAATTCGTTCGATGACCTACTAGAGCAGTTTACTCTACCAGAGCCAGAGACCAGCAATGTCCTGAAGGAATTAGTCTCTACGCCAGACCAATCTCTTAATATCAATGATGATTTAGAATCACCCGATGATTGTTGCGATTATACCTTCCAAGGGGATCAGTATTATTCACAGACTGCCTTTAACTCTTCCGCTTGTGAAACATCTGTGTCAATGAGCGACAGAGACCATTCCACTGATACTACCGTGTTTGACAGGGGTATAAAAGCCCCCAAATTCGCGAGAAGAACAGTGAGGGCACCGCGGGAGCGTGCAAGTGGTGCGAATGAGATTATATTCCAAATCCTAGAAAATTGCCGTTTCACGACGAGGAATATCTCGCTGGATCAGAAACAGTTGAGAGAGTTACAAATAGCTGCCGACTGCTTATTTTTGGATAATTGTCGCGAGTTGATACAGAGCCTTCTCCCAAATTGGCTGCAGCAAAACTCGATTGGCTACCATGCCTTAGGCCTTCCATCTTTAAGTCGAACACCCGAGGCAGCTGCAGGCCTTTTCAATTTTATAAGGTCTAACAACCTACACGAAAAGGCCTTGGAGATTCGTTTTGCTCAAGCGGCATTCTATCTGATATATCTAGAGCTATGTCGTGACATGAAATCATCAGCCAGACATTCAATGCGGATGGGAATGTCCAATAGTGCACGGCCAAGCACTGTCGCCCGAGATCTTATATTGCAATCAATCTACGGTGATGGTTTTCAATATATGAGTCGTTCCAGACGTGAATCGGGACGGCAGGCCATCACTAATGTCTTGAGGTGGGGAGGTAGATGGTGGAAGATGGCCAGCTGTCTAGGGCTAGGCGTATTGCTTCTTGCAAGTGAGGAAGTGGCGATTAGAATGTAAGTCATTATTTACAGGTATCTCTTTACTCAATGTCTAACAAAGTGGCATAGAAGGGATGAAGACTTTTTGATGGCACAGGTCGATGGTCTTATTACATATATTCGATCTGCCAGGCCAGGCACCCTTTCAGTCTTTCGCTCTATTGAGGTTGAAACCAGAAGGCTGATGTTTGGTGATGTGTGCAATGAGCTGATTGACGCGGCCCACGATGATGACGGCGGGCCTTTGAGCGAGCTTAGCATCTACAAGGCAAGAAGTGAGGACGAGATTGCAATTCTCAACCAGACAACTGGCAATGAGTGGCGAGTAACACGGACAGAAGAGGTTGCGAAAGAGGTTGCGGCAGGGTTCTTTTTTTAGTATGTTTGGTCGCTGCGACAGCCTTGGAACTTTACTGGATACTGGCAAGACACTGTCTCGGATGTTGCTTTTACTTGGATATTACTCCTTTTGGCTTGACGCTACAGATACCTTAGAGCTCGCAAGTATGATTTAATAGCTTCTTTGGGTACGACTTCTAGCCTCAACATGGAAGTTAACGATTATACTTCTTATTTTCCCAGGACCTTTTTCTTGCTTGTTTCTGTTAGAGATCTCGCCCAGAGGAAAAGAATGCATCATCCTGAAAGCCAATCGATTTATTACACAAAATTAGCATCAGAGGGGATATAGGAACACAAGGTACGGGCAGAATGAAGAGCAAACCAAGCAAGTCCAATAAGCTCCTCTTTGCAGAAGCGTACTTTTGTAATAAGATCATGCTTCCGTTTGTGTCAGCGAGCATAACACAGAGGTTGAATCAATGTCTTTACCTGTTTTAAAGAATCAATGGAGCCGGCAGTCGTTGTCCTTGAGAGGAAATCCACCCCAAGTGAGTTTGAAGGCCAGCGATTCAAGTCGTCGATTCCAACAGCTCCTTCGTCTTTGACGTACTTCTGTAGGAGCTCCATCGTGATATTAGAAACACATCTCATTTCCAGATCTTGCGTTTGTTGATGAGCTCTGGGCTCACACTCCTCTATACATCCTGTCACATCTCGAGTTAATGGATATAATGTTTGATAATCCCATTAGTCGTTCATACCTATACGCACCCTGCCATCAGTGTTAAGAAATATACGCGAGCAATCCAAGTATTTATGGCTTAAATTGTGAGATAAGAGATACGACATTCCGTTCAATATCTAGTCATTCATCAGTAATCACGGAAACAGCAGCATGTAGCTACAACCTTACTTGGACCATAATGGCGGTGAGCTGGCTCTGGGTTGGAAAAGCCTCACATGCGACAACATGTTCTAATGTGATAGGAAAAAGCTCCGCCAACGCGTATGTTGTGTTGGCTGCGTGAAAATACTCTAGGGCTGAAACCACATTCTCGTGTTGGATGGAACGAATGTGAAAAAGAAGATGTTCTGGATTCTCCCCGGAAATTGGCGTAGTGAGTATACGCACCTTGGACCTGACCTGCGTGTCACGACTGTAATAATACCAGCGAGATCACATTCGTATTCTCTATTGAAAGTATCCCAGGGGGACTCGCTTCGAACTAGGACTTCGTGATCCCGCTGCAAAGTGGGCTTGCTGATACCTGGCAGGCCGAGCGTCCTGGGCTTTCCCTTGATAATTTTCGAGTGCGGCTGAGACGCAGTTTTATAGATTGCCCCCTTTAACTTGGCCTCTTTTCCTCTCTGCGTACTGTGAGTTGATACAGGTATATCATGATTTTGAGTAGACGGTGAAGTAGCCTTGAGGGCAGAGAGATTAAGTTGTGTCACACGATTTGCCTTATTCGACATAGTTCAAGAATAGATGGAATATTATATCTGGAGAAATCACCATTGAGCTACCAGAAGAATGCGGTATATATTGATTAAAATACTATGGCACACTGTGCCCCAGAGGTTGGACCCACTTGGCTGTCCGGATAACTTTTTCACGTAGACGTGATTATTAATACAACATGATCACCTGGGCACCTGAGCACCATATGTTCGAATTCAGCATTCAACAAGAACTACCATTCACAAGTCTCCTCGAATAACTATTCAATGATGCAAGACTATGTTTTTACTCGCCAGGAAATGCGGATAGCCCGTGAACGTAGGATCAAATATCAAGGCCCAGCGAGAGTCAACATTGCACAAATACAAACGATTCCCCCTTTACCTCAGGGTCTGAATCCAGAAGGCCTTGAGCGACTTCGCGCTATCTTTCGGAAAGATGGCTGCCGGCGTATGGAACTAAACAACTTTGTTCCCGTTGTCGTTTCGCAAAATGCTTTGCATAGAGCGATGTCAAAGGCAAACATCTCACCTCAAAATCTTCTGAATCCTGGGGATTATACTCCTCTACTAGAATTCGAGAGTACAGAGGTTATAGCGCTACATGGTCGCCATCGCTTACAAGTTGGTTCTGAGATTCTCGCTCCACTTGAGCGATGGTGGACGGTGGATATTTATCTTGATGGTAAAATATCTCTCCTGAACCAGGATAAATCATTCTAATTTAAGTAGATATTGGAGCGGATCTTAAGAATTCTCTTCTTGAAGAGTACTCGAATGAGAACACACCAACTGACGGCCAAATATATTGGAGAGTCCGTCAGTACGAGACTGAGCAAGACGAGAGTTCTCGCCAAAGATGGTTTGTACGACTGTCGAAGAACAAGCAGATACGATTAGATCAGCTTGATAACAACCGAAATCGACAATTGCGAGAAGGTTTCAACCGGTTGCTCCATATCCGAGGATTGTGGCTGAATGGTTTGCGGATCAGTATGCTCCACCGGGTAATTGCTGCCACTGCTATTGAAGTATGAGTTCTGAACTGCTTGCTATGTCTCATTTCCATGAAGCTTATTTTCGACAGGAAGTTTTGAACTACTTGGCCTATATATACGATACATACCTATACTTCGTTGATGGAGATCAAAATTCGTTAAAGCGTATCGGATCAGATACTGTGAACTTAATACATCTGAAGGCCCCAGGAAGTTCTGAGAAAGATTCAATTGATGTACGTGGAATGGTGTTGGGCGGGAAGGCATTTGGAGAATTTACTGAGCTGGAGAGGATAGCAATATGGGACCGCTTGAGCCGATTTAAAGGTTTAATCCCGTCACTGTACTCCTTTTTCGAAGACTTCAAATATCTCGAAGCATGTTCGCATTGCGTGAGACAGATGATCGGCGTGCCCTTAAGCTCGATCAAAAACACAATGAAGCACAGCTTCACACCTGGGCCCGCGAGCGAAAAATCCTTTCCGATCCAGGTATCAGAAAGATCGTTTTCTTATTTGAATTTCACTCAGGAGCAATGTTTTGACTTAGCCTATCGGCAAGTGTGGCTCTTTGCTATGCGAAACTATCCTCTGATGCCACGGGTTGCGGAGGTTAATGACAAGCTTCTAGCAAAACCTGGGTTGATCAAAGCAGACGCCCAAGTCTTGTATGACATGGCCAAGCTTTCCCATTGCCTCGGATTCCGATCTATTGAGATTGAGAAAGCTTTGGCCAAATCGCCAGATCGACAGATTGCGCTCTCTGCTCTTTTGCAAGCTCGAAAGCCCACCCAGTTCCAATATCCAGACTCTCAGCTAGAGTCCCTAGTAACTCGAGTGGTAGAATGTTTTGCCTTTGCCTTTGAGAATCCAGGCGAGCCACCAATCATACTAGCTGATAGCTTGGTTGAGGCCCGGGCTCGGTGTGGGATGCCACAGCTCAGAACATTTAGCCAGGACAAGGACCATCTTTTTCTACCGGAAATGCACTGCATACAGACTCCATCATCAAATATCACGACGCTATTTGTGCGTCAGTATGTATACATTGCTTTTTTTGGAAACCTTGATGAAAGCATATTCACAAATCGGGGCCCCAACGCCTCCCAGGACGGGGAAGCACGGGACACTGCCCAAACAAGCACAGGCACACCTCCTTTACGAAGCCGCGCACACCAATCTATAGACATGGAGATACCAGAATCGGCTGATAGGCAAGCTGAGTCGAACGACCTCAGACTTGCCGACGATGACACCACAATGCGCGGTACAGCTGAAGACTTCCATGAGACCGAAGCCGAAGTCCCAATAAGGGCTTACTCGCCTTCAATCTACTCGTCCCGACTCTCTGAGTTATCGGAGCCATCGACCATTGTTCGAATGAATTATTCAGCATCAATTCCAGACGAGGCTGGTGACATACAGAACAGTTCTCCGGCAATGAACGAAGCCAATCATTTAGAGGTTCAGAGCCGTCCGTCATGGACAATCGAGGACGATCTCAGTCAGCCTCCAAGTGATGCTGTAACAGCAATCGTACCCTACTCAGAACAAGATGTTGACAATTTCCGAGAGCGGCGAAGGGGGAGAACAAGAGAAGTGCGATCAGAGGAACGACCGGGGCAGCGAAAAGAAGAACAAGATAAGCCACCTGTTGATATGGGGATGACTGTCGGATTTTTGCGCTGGGAAAAAAACGAGTGGATCTTGGATTATGAAATGCGAAACGTCACTGAGGAGAATTCCGCCGAAGTTAAAGAAAAAGCCGGGGAATATCGAGTTAAAGGGTTTATGCTGTTCGATACACACCTTAAGAGTATAACCGCTTCCCGTTGCTACCAAACAGCAAAGCAAGCCCTTTGCCATCACATACTTCTTGTCTTCGCCAAGGACTATGCAAGGCTGAACATCGGTGATCGCAAAGTACTCAAGGAAAGCTATCACACAGCTAAGTGGAACGTGCCACGTAAGAGAAAGAGGGTTCTTATATCAAATGCTTAGGTGACCTACGGATTGTTATACAGCAAGTGCCTGGAGAGAATAGGACACCAGAGATACTTAATTTCTGCAATAAATTACCACCAAGTAAATGACCCATGATGACCCTAAGATCAATAATCAATAAATCAACAACACCAAGTACCCTAAATGTAATTCGATGAAAATCAAAGTAAGGAGAATAGCCTTTTAACTTTCAAAATCAGATACGTCACACCTAGACTGGCTACAATAAGGGCTGTTGAAAGATCTCGAAGATCTTGTCTACACCGCTTTAGGTCGATATACATAACAACTCCACAGCCGCCACCTTGTAACGCTCCTACGAAGGCTTATAGCGGCCCAGCTCATTTAATGGTTTTCAGACACTATTTGGGCCTGGCGTATCAAGTTCTGACCGGCAGGAATTTAAGATACTTGAAATTGTATTACAGACCTCTTCGTAAGCAAATTACTCGAATTCATTTTCACGCATGACCGAAGCCTCGAGTGCAGCTCCCCGAAGGCCCCAGGGAGCAGGCATATACGGTAGCCTAGGGAGATCTGACCTAAAACGTTCATCTCTAGGGGCCTCCCTCGGAAGTAGGTATGTACGGTGGCCTAAAAATAAGGGCATTGAGGCCTATATCCCCGCCAGATTCCCGGAAATAGGCATATCTGTAGTAGCACAGGAAGCGGGGTGTGTAGGGGTGTGGCCCCTCACCCCTGGAAATAAGTATATGCGGTGGTACGGGAATATGCACCAAATGGGTAAGTAACCTCTTGCGAGGGACTTCATGTTACAATACGTCATAAATAAGGGTGTAAGTGGCGGTAAAGGGTGTGTCCCGAATAGGAAATATGTCTGCCTATGTCTGCTTGAAAACTAACAAACGAGCTGGGTCGCTATAGGCATGCTTATGCCCCGCTTCTTCGGCCGCCACTGCTATCTCGGTGTCTCCTATCACGCCTGCGGTCACGACGCAAACAACGGGGCCCCCTCCTGCACCAGAGAGACGGTATCCGGTTCGAATCACGTGTAATAGATGGCCTGAACGATATTCTGAATCTACTGCTGTCGGAATTCTTTACTTCTTCTGATGGAACCATCGTCTGTGATATGGAGTAAATTATCCTGCAACTATATTCTTCAGAATTCATACGAAAACCGAATGTCACGGAAGAAAGTGGATCATAGACATCCCCTAGTCTTCATTATACCCACATATGATTCCAATGCTCCGAGGTTAGGCTTTCTAAGGACTAAGTTATCTGAAAAATCATCTCGTGGGAAGGCTTTAACATGAGTCATGGCTTTGTAAGGGTGCCATATGTTCCCTGTCTTATGCAGCAGTTCTCAAGAATCAATTTGTCTCAAGAATTTTTAGATAAGATCCATGTCTGAGATATCATTTAATAGGATGACCTCAATATAGCGTGATGGGGAATAAGTAGAGACTAAAAAGACAGTGTTCGAAACGAGTATATCTGTTTGTCTTGTCCTTAGGGATGTGATGAGTTTATTCCGAGGGCGAATTCTTCATAAACTATTTAGAGATATGCGCCTACTCATACTCAGACAAGTGACCTAGGTACTATTTACTATATGTAAAAAAAAGGCTCTAATATCTAATGAAGTAGGGAGAGCGCGTAAGCGGTTTGACATCGCAGACAAGCCGATGGGGGTGCTCAGTGCTCAATGGGGATCCGAGGAAGCAAAACCGGCCCCCTGGGCAACCAGAATAGGAAATAGACGCTGTTCTTTCGAGAGGTGTGTAATGTCTGAATTCCTAAAGTATGGAGATGCGAGCTAAAAATGCCAAAACTAGCCACAGGGCCAAACATGAGATGTGGTGCGGTTTCCCCACTACACTAAGTAGCTTTCAAGTCGTATATTACTCTTTGATATACTATGAGATACTTACACCGCCAACAAGATGCAAGTATAGCCCTTCATGTTCTCTTAGAGATTCATTGATACCTTCGCACTCACGAGGAGTTACCCAGAAGTCCCACTCTTGCTTAACCCAGCTAACATTCCGCTCGAATATAGTCTGATCCCTTTTCTTCTGGATAAAAGCACGCTGCTCCTTACTAGATGAGATCTCATCATCATCCAAGCAACCAGCACACAATGTGTTGATGTTAACCCGACGCTTTGCAGGGATGAGATGGGCCCAGGCGCAAAGAAGCCATGATCCAGGCTCATGGGCAATAATCTTGAGCCGCATGCGATGAGCATCGCTATCGTGGCATGAAACGCAGAACCAAGTAACAAGGCCCTTCATTCTAAAGATACGTTAGGATATACATGGACACTCGGTGTGATGACAGACTGACGCGTAGTTCTTTGGGAAGTGACTTTTGAATATTACTGGTCAAGAGTTTGGACGATGAGGTGATTGGGAGAATTTCAAGTGGGTATCTGACTAGAACATCGCATGTACTATCTTGTCTTTATAACTTAGCGGCTGATGACAATAGTCTATGTAAATTGCGGACTGTTTTTGGGGTCGCAGTAGTTTAACCCTCGGCGGATCCACTTAGGGGTGGCCCCAGGTGCATGTACCGCCACCCCCGGACCACCATTATTATTACCACGGCCTCCGGCCGTGCCAACCATATTCGACCCTCTGCATGCTAAATAAAATAGTTTCACACATAACAACGAAAGACCGCACAGAAGAAAGCTTCTATAACCTCTACTGTCAGCCGACAAGCATGTCTTCGGGTTGTTTTCTCGACTTGCCATCCGAGATACTCAATCTTGTCTGCTTGAGGCTAAATCCGTCTAGTTTGAAAGAGTTCTCTCTTGTTGATCGCAGATGCCGTGTTTTAAGCATACCGATCCTCTTTCACACAATCCATGTTTCCTTCTCCTCTAGTGGCCTAGACAGTTTCCGTGCATTTTCGTATTCTCACCTAGCATCCCAAGTACAGGTTCTTTGCTACGATGTGTCAGAGATTATTGATCCATGTATGTCACTCCCCAATAGCTGGTTTGTCATTCTAATGTTAATGATATAGTGGTACAACACTGGGACTACTTTACCACTTGTATATATACCCCGCAGGAGTATGCCCGAGATCAAAAGGAGTTTGGCTGGGGACTTCGTCAACGATCATTACGCTACGGGTCGATTCATTCCCAATTTGTTGATCTTGTGGAAAGTCAACAGGAGGCTGTGAGTGATCGGAAAGATATACGGGTACTTTGTGATTGTGCTCAACGCTTGTTGCGATTAAACACTATTCGGCTATCTTTCATGGAGCCTGACACTAGCCAGCTCTTTTGGTTTAGTAGTCGCGTCTTCGTGGATTGGAACCACTCATTTCCACTTCATCTGGAAGCAGTCCTTCAATGTATTCAATCTATACGACTACAAGGGATTCTAGTCTCCTCACTTGAGATTAATGGCTTCTATGCTGACATCACCGATATGACACTGGTAGATCTCGCTACTTGTGCACTTGCCAATGTGAAATACCTATACCTTCACGACAGTGTGAATCTGCTAAGTTGGCTAGCTACTGTTCCTCTCTCATCACTGCTACATGTTGAGATTGGCCATTGCTGGATAGTGGGATGTGATCTTCAGATATTTCAAGCGAAGCACGATCCAGACGGAACAAAGCTAAGTGACGAACTGAGAGAGTGGTCAAATACCACTAGGACCCTTTGGGACGCTTATTCATCGATCACCCAATTCCCACTAGTATTTGTACGGTATTCCGGGCAGATTCGGAAGGACGGTGTTGTAACACGCCGAAGCTTATTTGTATAGACCCCTGAGATCGTTCAACCGATCTTTAAACACCTACAATCAATCACCTGATTCTATTGGACATGTTCAGTACCAGCCAGTACATCAATTCCTCATCCTGACACTAAGCCTCCGGGATGTACAGCTCTACGCAACGTGCGAGGCAAATCCTCGCTATACTAGATAGATTATCTTGGTGCAATTTTTAAGAAATACTAAGTGTAGCAGGAAGACCGCTCACTATTGAGAGATCAGAACTCCGAGATACAGTGATATTCGAAATCAGTGTGAACTCAATTCTCACTCTCTTTCTCTCCTGAGGCCCCACCTCAAGCACGCTAGTCCGTATTAGGATATATTCCCGCCAACCTTGCATTTATTTCAATCTTCAACAAGTTGGTGCTGAATACGGTGATTTCTCTGAGAACAATTTTGTTTCTTTCGATAGTCAGGGGATAATATTTGCACTTCGGAATTTTGAATTTTGCCTAGAGAATATAAGATGAAAGTCTCATTAGATTGATTCTTCTAGCGCAGCGCTATGTACCTATTTTTGATTTCATCGTCTTGGAAATCAAACTAATTTAGTGCTCTGAAAATAATCGGAATATTTGCACGTTGCAGGCATTATAGAATTCATTAATAAACATCCATTGAAACATAAAATCGATTGTCACTAGCTACACAATCTTCATAGTAGTACATTTACGACTATTGATAGAGCTTAAATAATCAGACTTTCATGGTTCCAGCTGAGATTCTCCGGTGTCGCACGAAGAGCTCTGGGGATTTATCTCGCTGAGAAGGCCTTTCTTCAATATCAAACTGAGGGGAGTCCGAAATGAGATCGCTGAGCTTGGCATACCCGCGCGTGGAGAGGCTGAAGTCTGGGTGACGTGTCATAAGGTGCTCACGAACGTCAGACAGCCGAGCCCATTCACCACTATGGAGAGTCATCTCTGCCGAATTTTGTAGTAGGCTATCTGAGGCATTGTGGACGGGATCATGAGACTCAGACATGGCTACCCCATTGGGACTTATTTTACGCCCTGAACGATGATTCAGGTCTTCAGTAAAAATAAATTCATCGCAGGCGGAGACGAAAGCTTTAGGCGTCTTGTGCTCCCCGAATCCATACACCTTCAGCCCAGAATCACGAATTCGAGTGACCAGTGGAGTGAAGTCGCTGTCACTAGAAACGAGGCAGAAACCATCGAAACGGTTCGAGGTTAACAGGTCCATCGCATCTATGATCATAGCCGAATCCGTTGCATTTTTGCCGTGGGTGTATGAAATCTGCTGGATGGGCTGAATTGAATTTCTAGGCAGCACATCGCTCCATCCTTTCAGTTGAGGGTTGGTCCAGTCCCCGTATGCCCGCTTTATGTGAGCCTCGCCGTATTTTCCGACCTCCGCAAGCAAGTGTCTAGCGATGGAGGATTGCGCATTGTCAGCATCAATAAGGACTGCAAGTTTAGCGGAGTTTTCGGAAGCCATGATCGCATACTTTTACTGCATAAACGAGGTTTAATCTAGTTTTTGTAGTCATTTTTAACAGAGTGTCTTCAGCGTGTCACATGGTGTCTGTATATGACGTCACGAAACCCCGGCTTGTCACAAGATTGAACAAACACGAGCCTCTTCAAGATAATAACGATTGTTTTATACAGGGTGGATCGAAATTAGTTTCACCATTTGCTCACTGAGATTATTTCTCAAACCCTCCGGTGAAACACGCTATACCTATTGCAGTTGCACTGTCTTTGAACCCCTTCCTTGGCGTTATTTCTGTACAGCTGTAAATAACAGCCTAAAAATAGCTCTCGTATCAGACCGTAAGGTCTTCAGGCGAGTCTAGAATGTTGAGTCAGCAATGAGTCTGCCTGGCTCCTCTTTTTTCCCCGGGCCTCCACCATTCTTCCTGCTTGTGATGTGCGTATGGCCACCTCCCTTACGCAGACCTCTAACCCCCGCCGCATCTACATTGATACCAAATACACGATACAGATGTCTACTTCACGATTCAAGCCTATCCAGCCTTATACGCCTGCCACCAAATCCTTGATATCTGATCAACGGGGGAAACCCCCGGTACGAGACTACCTAATACGAAGACTCTCAGCAGCCTGCAAAGAATGTCAGCGCCGGCGGACCAAGGTAAAAGGATCCTGGATCATATTGTATACTTAGCTGCTTACTTGTTTGTTTTCAACGACAGTGCAGTTCTGAGAATCCATGCTTGGAATGCACGAAGCGTGGCTCTATTTGTGTTTTCGATATGAGCTCCGACAAGCGACGCAAGAGTTACGCAAGTAAAATAGAAACAGAACTCCGTCACTACCAAAGGTTTTTGAACGACTTTTTGAGGGCAATCAGGGACTCTGGTGATGATGACGTCCGTCACATCATCAATACTGTGCAGGCGGGGTCATCAACAAGTGAAATTCAGTCTGAGGTGAACAGTGTCCTTATGAAGAATTATTGCTCTCGATCTACACTTTGACTCATTCCAAACGTTTTCGCAAAGCTCTTTATCATTTTGGGGGGTGGCAATTGTCTCGGCATGTTTTCTGAGCTCAGCTCCTTGCACCTCTGATACATTCACTGTTACGCAGAACTTGCCGAAAACGCATGAATATGTTTTGGATACAATAAGCTATCATTTAATTGAGATGATTGGAAGTATTTTACTCGCGGCGCCATATCACGACTCGAGCCATCTTGCACTGATCCTGTACATCTACTTGTTACTTGATTCTTGTTACTTGATTCCTTAACTACAATGACGTTCAACATCATAAAGTTTCGTCCACCGCTGTATCATATCCAGCCACCGTTTATCACGACGTTTTAGCAAGAATTGTAAAAGCTACTGTTCTCGGCCCACATTGATGGATGAAGGTACCAGGTTCACCATTCAATTTTTAGTCTCCATTACGTCATCACTCGAATACTTGGCCAACCAACATATGAGCACACTCATGTCCGCACATATTGCCACTTGAGATGAAATAGTCATTGGATGCTTGGCGTATCATCCACACTAAAAGATGGCTTTTGAATGTGGGTGGTCATGTGCTATAAAATGTTTTAGAATCTTGCCTGCTACGTAGTGGGAAGTTAGATACAAACTAACATTGGACAAACTTGATCGAGAACCGAAGAATTGTCGACAGGTGACACACATGTTGTGCTCTCCTATGTCGTGCTGAGCTAGATTTTGGGCTGTTTCAAATTGGATGTCGCAGGAGATACAGTAGTTGTGTTCAGTTCCGAGGTGCTCATCAAGCTCAACCATCTTCGCGAAATCTTGTTGTGGGAAACAAATGTAGCAGATATGATGATATGGAGAGTCGTAGATATGTTGCAGCCTCGCGAAGAAATTTCTAAAGCTGATTGCGCAGCGCGCGCAATAAAATTGTTTCAGAAGCATGATCCAGGATTGTTAGGAATTTCCCCTTGAGTGTTGGGAGCAAGAGGAACAAGTGGTTGTTTGTTTACTAAATGAAGTCTAGGCGGTGAGGTGGTGGGGCTCTTGACCGTGTTCGAGCTTTTGTGACTCGTAGGCCCACCCTTTATGCCAATCACCACATGGCACATGATAACCCGTTTGATGGCAAACCAGGCCAAAAAGCTACACATTTGGTAGATCCGGTCGACACAATGTCAATACGAGATGCCTCTTTACGCCAAGGGAGTTTCGGACCAGATTCTGCATCTGAACATGGTCCGAAAAAGAATGATTAGGAATCAGGAATCCTGATCATTCTGATATTGCCCTCTGCTAGGCAAGGTGACGCGAAAGAATTATGTCAATAGGGTTTGCAAGAGCATTACAGGTAATTTATAGAGCATCATGTCACGTGAGAGTCAGTTTCAATACGATTCGGCATTTGAAAATAGGCTAAGCCTGAGCTAGATTGGTGTGTTTCGGAATAGGGTACGAGAAAGATTTCACGAGAGTCAAGTGGTGAAACTGATTTCGATCCATCCTGTAACCCACGTGAGCCTCTTCACGCCTGCAACGAAACAAGGGGCACAGTGGATCTAAAACCAATGTCGAATTCCTTAAATGTGAGGAATGTCAAGAAATATTATACCCTGTGAAATCAGGACGAACGCAAGGTCCGCAGAAGAAGATTTTGATATGGTCTAGAGCGGCTACAGTAAGGTGGGGCCTTTGGGAAAGAAGTAAGAGGGATTAGAGTTAAAACTGATTTCGAATACCACTGTATCCAGTGAATTAATACATACAGTATCTATTGTTAGAGACCGGTAGAGAAAGGAGAGAGCGCGCTCTCGAACTACGCCGTCTAGACCCGGGAAGCCTAGCAATTCAGTATATACATCAAACCGCTATCACGCTCTTATATTCTCACTAGATATGCAAGGAAGAAATGTTTTGTTTCATTTATTGCAGGTTATATTCTTTAGCGATAGTTAATTGATGACTGTAAGGTATATACGGCCTGAACCACTTCGACACAGGCCCCGGGGGTGCCCAGCCCAGGTGGTTGGTCAAGAAAATAATTTTACGCTAGACTTACCTGGGTACTCTTGTAACATTGCCTTGACATAACTGGAAAACCTGATACCGCAACCCTAGAATATGGGTCGCGGAATGTGGTCGACTATAAAGACCGGGGACAAGGCCACAAATTCACCCTCGTCTAAGATTTATGATAATGACTGACGACAGCCGCGAGACTGTTGGGAATGAAAAGCGTGCTATGTGGAGAAAAATATGTCGTAAGCGTCTTGCGGAGCATATCTGTGGGTGTAACCGGTACATAATCATCAAACAGGGGCTAACTGAAATCACAGTCGAAACTCTCAGAATAAGAGTTAAACCGTCTGATGTTAGGCTTAAGCCTCCCGAGGGCGATAGAATATATGCATGGAAAGTGCAAAGTCTATATCTGCGACCACTTTTTAAAAAGCATCTCAGTAAACACTCTGTTGGTGCCTATATGCAGTTATGTGAAGAGATTGGATCGGGATTTTACGCTATATTTGCAGAGGTGTCCCACCTAAGACAGACCTTGAATCATACACGAGCTTACTCTTGTTTCTAGCACCAAGAGTCTAACCTTACCCATGACTTAATATCTCGCCTACAGGATGATAACAGTAAAATGTTGGAGAGAATACAGCTAGCAGAAGAACGATGCCTTCAACAAAGCCGAACTGTTTCAAACGCCATAATCAAAATCCAAGAACAAGAGTCAATCATTCAGGAGGCCCAGGAAAAGATTCAATTGCAAGAGGCGCAGATAATGCAGTGGATTATATACTCGGAGTCTTTGCAGCTTAGATGCTCACAAGGATCCGGCTATTTGCTCCAAGCAATTCAATCTCTACATGGCTACACTGTGGCTGAATTGTCTGATCCCTGAATGGCGAATCTTACTCTAGGTAATACACACTTTAGTATGAGAAGGACCTAGTTCCTATTACATTAAACAGGACTGTAAAGTAGTCGACAAATTCTGCTTATCCTTTTTCTTCTGTTAATATCCTTCTAGATCTATAGTGTTGATAAATGCGCTGTTGTTTGCTGTTGATCTGTAGTATTCAGGTCTAAGCGGGTGGAGGATGAGAAGGGGCTCTCTAAATTTGATTGAAGGAATGGCCTTCTCAGTGAGGTAAATCCCCAGAGCTCTTTGTGTGATATTGGAGAACTTCAGCTGGAACTATAAAAGTCTGATTATTTAAGCCCTATTAATAGTCGTAAATATATTGCTACAAAGATTGTGTAGGCTAGTAATTAATTTTATGTTTTAATAAGCTTTTATTAATGACTCTTATCATATCTGCAACGTAAAACTATTCCTGTTTTTTTCATTGGGATTTCAAAGACCTCAAAGGCGACATGATACATACGGGCCTTGCAAAGAGCAAATACTCATATACAAAAGGGAACTCTAAATTCGATCGGCAACTTTTGCTGAGGATCTGCTTAGCAAGAATTTGGAAGGACTTAGTGTCTAAACTGCTTTTTTCAAATATATATTCAATTATTATAACAATATTATCATGTTTACAGTATTGGCAACCTATGGTGTACCGTTTCATCGTAGAATAGATGACTTTGAACATTCACCGCTCTTGTAGGTGTAGGTAAGTGGTTATATAAATACTTCAGCCACTTTGAGAACAGACTTATTTTAGATATAGGGTATGTATAGAGGTATCAGATAAACTGATTTTACAATCCAAGCCAAGTTTAGAATTACAATGTACTCTACATACGTAATATTACACGCATAACTTAGCAGAGGACTCCAGAAAAACTCCCAATATGAACTAGTGTATTTTGGCGCAAGAGGCGGGAAAGTCAATCGACAAGTAAAGGTGGTTGCACCAGTTTCGGGACGCACTGTAAGGGATCGTAAGCTTGGTTTAGACGCTTAGAGTGTGTTATGGGATTCACGAAGCATCAAATTAGACTCTAGCGACTCTAGCACTATGTACCAGCGGTGTCCGTTCCAAGTTGC